ATGGAGCTCAAAGAGAACTTTTCTCCCTTCTCGAAAACCGCTCTTCGTGTGAAGAATTGGCACACGGCGATAAATACAGATGTTATTGGGATCACTAAGTTTTATTTCATACAATTATCGGTATTGCTTGTATTCAGCGAAATACAGGAGGAGGAAAATAATCCCTGAGTGTGATGTTTGTAATGTGATTAGATTTGTAAACAGCTGGTTGTATCTGCAATAAATGAACATCAATGCCAATCATATATGAGAAATCGCACGTAACGAATTTCAGCAGTATGTGTACTCAGAAACTTCCGTTCGTCTGCGGTGATCTGCGGTTAACACGGAAACTCGGACCATTCTCTTCAAAATTGTTGCCAGCATAACAATGAAATGCGTGTTCAGCAGGTTATGAAAGGCGTTAGAACTCCAGAACGCGCTGTTAGCGTTAATATGAGAGCGAATAATGCGCGCCTAGACGCATTGTGCAGTTTACCCCGCCACTCGACGAGAGTACAGCTATATAGCGGCTGATGGTATGTGAATTGAGAAGGATTTGGAAGGAAGGAAACGACCGTGGCATAATCGAGGTGCTGTTATTTCGGCCTAAGTAAGATCACGGAAGGCCGCGCCGTAGCTCAAGCTCTTAGTCGCTGGCTTTCCGCCGCGGCGGCCCGGGTTCGATCCCGGGTCTGGTAAAGTGGGATTTGTGGTGGACCAAGTGGCCCTGGGGTAGGTTTTCTCCGAGTACTTCGGTTTGCCGTGCCAATTTTCATTCCACCAACTGCTCCACAGTCACCCTCACCTATCATCTGGGGCTGGTACAATAGGCCAGAAGTGGCCGCAGTACAAGGGACTTAGTCCCACCCCACTAGCACTAAAAAAAGATCACGGAAAATGTCGGCTAGGATAGCGGGTGTCTCTATACAAGTCTCGAGTGTTGCCTTCAGACCAGCCTGTGTCCATCTGGGACGTCTTGCAAATACTCGTACATACTGGAACCAGCAATCAGAGTTCCCACCCAGACAGCTGTGTACGTCTGACATATATTTCAGTTTCACGCATCATTATTACACCGTCATTGTTTAATTTTCGTCGAACTCGATGTAAGTGACGTGTCTTTGGAAGGCAACGCATGCTGGTGTCTGCAGTTCCCTGTCACAGCAGTGTCAACATGGCAGTTTTGTGAACAGTGGTAGCGTTCAGAACAGATTGCAGAAGTTACGCTCGAAAGGACGTTGAATGATTGGATATATAAGAAAATGATGTGACTGAGGTGCCCCATGCATCCGTTGTGACAGGCCTGCCAGGTTATAATGAAGTAAAACAAAAATTCCGTGGTTTTAGTCCGCAAACGAACTATACCGACCGAGCGACCGCCGTTTGTGGGAGAAGTTAATGACAATTTTAGCGGATACAGGATGTCGCGTGATCAGCACAACGAATTCCCACAGCCGTTAATTTCGGTTTTATAGACCGGAGCCGCTATTTCCCTGAAATAGCTCCACAGTTATCCTCACGAGGCTGAGTGGACCCCGTTCCAGACCCAGTACTTCTCAGAAAATCTGGTAGCGTCGGGAATCGAACCCGGACCTCTGGATCTGTAGCCAGAAACTCTGACCACGAGACTACAGAGGCGGTCTGTATGGTTTTAAATTTTTCGTGCGACGGAAGCAGAGTGACGCCTGCCACTGCTTCCTGGTACATGACAGCAGCAGATATTACAGAAAGGAAGATACCGGGAGTAAGTTCAGTGTGCGTTTGTTCTTTGTGGGGCGCACGAACTGCTTGTTGTATTATGGATGAACTCTGTTTCATGTGCCAGTGAGTCACTTGTATGTAGGTCGAGCTGTAGATCCTTTATCACAAGTAGTGATAGCCTGGCGTTAGCACCGGAAAGTGGGAAGGAAACGTCGAGCCGCAAACTGAAGAAGTACAATTAAAAGCCTCTCACTCGTGACCAGATGTCTATAGCACACGGTGGTCACTCGCTGTCGCAGTGGAAGTGAAGATACAACAATGAAATTCCGCCTCACGAAGGTAATTCACTGCATTGTTGTGTGTGTGGTGTGTACGCGCGCATACTGGCGTGGAGCATTTCGGATTTGTGGACGCAGGTGTACAGTACTGTGGTACAGTTGACACAGGTGATGTCAGCAGACACAGTACAGTACTGAGAACTTATCTGCTTGCTGCAGGGTATATGGCTTTGAGAGCGATTTCTACATTCGTCAGATTAAATTTATTTCGCTTCAACTAGGTTAGTCCCGTAGGATATGTATGGTTCCTAAGCTTAAACCAAGTTTCCCCCCGAATATCTTTGACAGTGCCAGTTTTTTATTTAATATGCATTTATGTTGTGTCTTTTTTTGCCCAATTTACGGACATTAAGCAAGTAATGACGTAGGTATTCAGAAGTAGGTGATATATTTCTGAACGTAGCGGTGGGTGTCAAGTGATATGACCGGCGTTTGTCATCGTTTCGGACTTTCGCTGTTGTACATGTACGTAAATTTGTTTTCTCCTTTCAAGTTTCATGTTAACGTTTCGGTTCAATGTATTTCTGTGGAACATCCAGCACTTTCAAATGATAGCGAAATAATGGGTTGTGATGTAATGCGATTTCTCCAGAACATACTCATCACGTCATGTTACGATCGCCTGTTTGCCGCAGAAGCGCCGGCCTGTAAAATGAGAGGTACTTGATTTTATTCTTGTAATGCCGAACATTATACAGAGCTGAACGTGAGAACGCCGCCCGATAGGAACGTACTCCAGAATAATCGCGCGTTACAAGGCGTGAAGTGTGTATTGCATGCCGATGTGTTTGTGCACTTCCTTGTGCTATCGCCTGCCTGCATTACGCAACTCAACTTGTGTTTCAAGTTTACGTTTCGCGTCGGCGTTTATCGTTGTTTATTTGACGGCGCTTTTCCAACTGCGCCAGTGGCAAGATACTGAAAAATGTAATTGTGGGTCAAATTGCTCACATGGACTGAAGCCAACTATGATAAACAGACACATAGCCGATATTTGAAATGGAATTCGAAACGCGGACCTCTAGAGTGCGAAGTGTAAATATAAACGGTTATGCCATGACAATCTGTGTACTTACCATTTGTGTATACCAGTGGAGTAGCTGAAGTGCTCTGTCTTCTGGGATAAAACGCTGTTGAAAGTCTGCCAAGGTTTGTGACGCCGCTGTGAGAACCCCAGAGCCAGCATTGTGGAATATCCATTGGAAATTCAGTTCATGTCTCTTACAGTGTACACAGATAACCCTTCTGTTGGTCAGCTCGCAGACACTATAGCCCTTGAGGGACACTGAAGCCATGGTACCATTCAATGTTAACAGTTCTGGAGAGACTGGCTGATGCAATAGCCCAGGGGTCTGTGGGTACCTTCTTCCTGCGAAGGTTGACCCCGTAATACTGGCTGATAGCTCTGTGATACAGACTGAAACACTGCTGTTTGTTGTTGCCATCTTCTGGTCCTGTCATAGCTAATTGAGAGTAGTGTTTCAGACCTGCTCTGCTCAGGCCAACCCTTGATAATCTGGCTACAGTTAATCTGGATCAGAACATATGCCGTTTAGGAAGGCAGATGAGTCGCGTCTCTGTTGAGGCAAAACTTGACAGTTTCCTCAAACCTGCAGTATTACGTTAAAAACAAGTACAGCTTCTGAGTGTTTTATCAATGAATACATGCATTGTCTTTTTGTAGTTTTTAAATAAAGGCTCTGCCGTGATATTTTTTATTTGTTTTTATCAGCACTACTTATTTCAACAAATTTTCCATTTGTTTGTGTTCTAAGTTTTTTTGTTTTTGTTTTTTAAGGGCACCTTTTGTTTCACTAATCCGGATTACCATGTAATCCAGATTAGCGAAGGTTTACAGTATTGTAATGATGAAGGCTTGTATGTGTATGAGGTGGGTCTCCACCATTTCAGTGGATACAAGTGTTCACCTTTGCCCTGGGTAGTTGTTGGGTTTGGCTCGGTAGGGGTTGGATCGTTAGGGATGTGGCATTGAGAAATGTCATTACTCATGCTGGGAACTGAACCCCAGCATCTGGTGTCTAATCATTGGCCATATAGACTGACCTGTTATGATCTTCTGGCCAACACGCATTGTGTGCATGAGAAGACAGTTGAAGGAACCCAGACTTTTGATGACTTGAAGAAGATAGACCTCAGATAAGAGATCAGCAGTCGCTTCAAAGCTTGTAATCCAGAACTGGAATAAAAGGCATGTCTCAGGATCATGAAGCAGGTGGAAGGTTTTCTGGTTTTAAGTGGCAAGCGTACTGTGGATCCTGTCTGTGATAGTATCCATAGGATTGACACTTCATCTGATACCATTAAGGCAGGTAAAACAAAGAAGACTGAGATGGGCAGAACATGTAACACACACTGTTAGGAAATACTAGTACACAATTAAGTCTTTCATTATCAAGACTACTAACTTGTATTCAAATTTTACTGCACAAGAAATGTGTCCAAAAATTTGGTTTTAACATCAGAAGTGGAGAAGCCATGAGGAGAGGAATGCAGTAGTATAGTGAGTTCTTACAGAAGTAGATCTGGAAGGCAGTTATTGGATTTACCAACCTCAGGAGACAGGAGATCAGACTCTCACAGCAGTGGCTGTAGTCTGGTAGAAGTTTGCGAACATTTCAGAGGAGTGTACTGCCCCCCAAACTTCAGGGTTGGAGGGTCATCCTACTTGAAAATTGCTTGTTTGCTTGCTGGAATACATCTATGAAGAAGGGGACATTACATTCCTCTGACACACCTGTGAACCTCTACCAAACTACACGGCATCACACCCAGAAGATAATTCCTTTCTTACCTCGGGACAGTATGATTAAGGTTCAGCTGGCTTGAACAGCTGAGGAAAGATTTCACAGCTTAGAGTTAATCCAGCATTCTGTAGTACTGTAACGCTATCTTGCAGCAAAGTAAAGTCTTTACACATGGTAGTACTGTGTGACGTAACTTAATGGGGTGGTGGTATAGGGGTGGAGGAAGCCCAAGTCCCGCACGGTAATGCCCCCTGGTAACACTGGCTGCGCCAAGACATCAACACCTCTCAACTCGGGTGGCAGCACGCTGCCAGCACCAGTTCCTCCCCCTGTGGCAGTGCCTTCAGATGCCCTGCCGGCTGGTGGCACCAGCAGTAGCAGCAGCAGCAGTGGAAGTGAGGATGTGACCACCGAGAAAACTCTGTCGCCCCAAAAGGCAGATGCAGCTACGGCTGCCACTGCCGCCGCCACTCAGGCATCTAGCAAGACTAAGAAGGTGTGCACACTCATGAAACAGAAGACTGTGTTGTCGCATGCTGTGCATGGAATGTTGCTCAATTGCATGGCATAGCTGCATGTGTCATGAGGATACCTGCCTGTTGTAAAACAGAGGTTCTTGTCTCTGAACACATAAATTGTCTGAAGTGTTACTACATGCAGCAAGCAGATTAATTCTCATCCTGATGGTGAGTTCGCATTACATACAGACCTTGCTGTGGCGATACCTCTGTGTGTGGTCAGAGACTGTACTGGCCTCTGTCTGCCTGGCTAGTGCAAAGTTAGGAATACACATACCTTATGAGAACACAAAATGTGCAGAATTCTTCTGCCATTAGTAGGATGGCAGTGCAAATGATTTCCAGCAGAGGAGACCTACATCTGCAGGTTCATCTAATAACATTTCAACGTTCAGTTCATCCCCACATTTCAGCTCCATTACAAAGATCATGTAGTTGATTGGCTTATGGAAATAATCTCTGTTTATTCTGGGAGTCATACAAATCACACACACGCACCATCTGCAGGTGAAGCGAATGATAAAGCAGGTGGTGCATATACAACTACTGTTCTTTAAGGAATTGATGTGGAAACCAGGCCATCTGTTGGCCTGGTATTCTTTGCATTCAGGAAGTTAGCTCTTGCTGAGAGAGGGGATGTTACACAGAACAATCTCGTCTCAATCCCAAAACTGTCCCATAAGTCCCCCTGTCCCCACATGAATACTGTGCTTTTGGTACCAGAAGCTCACATCACTGCACTGCATTCTGTATTTAAGTAATTACCGCCATGGAAGAAGATATGTTCTGATTTAATGCTCTATACTTTTATGTGTTGTGGAGCATGAAACTGTACATGTATGTAATACATTGTTCTTCTGTCACGTTTTCTGTGCCTGCTAAAAACCAGAATTTGCAAAGTGTAAATAGTATTGTTGAATTCTGTCATATGGTGTGGCCACTGTGCAGATTCCAGGTTGAAAGTTTTGGTTGCTTTGGAGAACAGGTCCTTGTAGTTTTCCAGCCCCGTCTACGGGGTTGATAAAATTTTTGTAGTACCATGCTTAGAATTAATATAGCAGAGTCCATAAGGAAACTGTATGGCTCATGTGTACTAGGGCACTGGTTTCAACATTAAGAGTGTGAGCTTTTTTTTAAACACCCCTGTCAAGCCTGAACTTGTTTTGTGAACCTTGGAGTTAATAGAATTTGTGTGAACAGTTCAAACTGGATCTTCTGCATGGTCTGTGTTTGCAAGTTGCATGATGTCTTCATGCTTTGGCTTGTTTTTAAGTCATTGGCATACAGTGAAACTTGTCTGCATTGACCACATTTGATTCCCTTCAAACTTGGCTAAACATTTTCCATTTTTGCATCTGTTGTGACTGGATACTTATAGTTCTGTGTTGCGCTTGCCATCTTGTCAAGTTTCTGAATCTCTGTATTTCATTACTGGCCCTGTGGCAGCTGTGCAGACCACATGCTGAATATCAGTTAAATGGTTCTGAAAGCAATATAATGGTCAGTCACATTTAATGTACTATAGCAAATCTGTGATATGTTGAACAAAGACAGGAGTCACCATTCAGTTGATTTCTAACTAATGATCTGTTGATTGCAAAGAAAGGTGAAAGATTTTGGTTAGCAGGTCCATACAAGGGACAGATGGATGGACAGCTTTTCATTTATACAGACTGGTACAAAAGAATCAGTCATTTTTCTGAATGACCAAAATAGAGATGTTGAAATGTGCGCTGAACTGTAACATGAAGTGTCAGAAGCTGTACAGGATAGATGGAGTTGACCACATGTACATTTTTCTGAATGGCCAGTATAGAGATGTTGAAATGTGCGCTGAACTGTAACATGAAGTGTCAGAAGCTGTACAGGATAGATGGAGTTGGCCACATGTACATTTTTCTGGTTCCATAAAAGTGTGGCCATCTGTGACAGGTGGCAAACTCACAGGGGTGTCAAGACACAGGTTTCACTGTATAATAGAACTCATATGGATTTCATGATGTTTGAAGTGACCCTCTAGTTGAAAGGCTGGGTTTGAGAGATTGCAGTTCTTGTGTCCAGTGTCGGAATTGTAGTTCCGAATCATCCCCACAAAGTGTCAGGCTGCACATATGTTTCCATTTACGTAAAAGTAATGTATTACAAAAAGTCTGCAAAAGCTGAACTTGAATTTGGATAAAGTTTAAGCTGGAAAGACATGTGAGATATTTTGGATACTGTGGCTAGGCTGTGCTGTTGTGTATGGAAGGGAGAACTGAATACTCTGAACACTAACTTATAACATGTGTAAAGGCATGTGAGATAGAGTAGCACTGATGGATTTTGTGATCGTAAGGCAAAAAGAACTTGTTTTTCTTTTTGTGAACTGCGATACCATGTCCCCAAATGCCTAGGCTTGCGTGTGTAGGACTAGTGAAATCCCACATCCCAGTTCTGTTACTGCTTTTGAGTTCTCCGTGTGACTATAGTCCTGAAGTACTGTGCTTGTGTGTTGCAGGACGGCAGCACCAAGAAGAAGGGCCGCAACAAGGAAGGTGAGTTGTGTGTGAGGTGACCATCTGGTTCATGAAGGAATGTCTCTGTAAACCCTTGCAGCAAAATGGAATAAAGAATAACACATCAGATGCTCATTAAACTGCACTGAAAGGGGTTTTGATACTAATTCTACATGCTTTTTCATGCATACTTCTTACTTAATATTGGAATCAAAATTTCAGCTGATGGGAATGAGCAATTTTCTTGAAATTAGAAATTTTTTGTTTCAGTGGCAGAGATGCTCTGCTTTCTTCAATATCTCTAAAGTAATGCTAGAGTAGCAGTCTGTTACGAGTTGAGTCATGGACATGTAGCATGAATGTGATAAAGAAGAACTGTATGCATAACTTTGCTGTGAACTGTGATACACTGCGATCCTCTTAGAGCGTCAGCAAGAGCATTGCGCTGCTAAAAGAGGACAGGAGGTCTATTTTGTATGTCCCATGAGTCAGTGGGGTGGAATGGGGCAGTTGCAGTGGCGTGGGTGGATGCAGTTTGTCTTGTGAAGAATTGTCTGACAGAATTTTTTGGCATGTGAATTGAATCAGCATTTGTTGACCCCTGGGTATGAATGTATATTTCTTTGGAGAGAGACATCTGATAATGTCTTGCTAATTCCAGTCAGTATCTGTCTTTCTGTCTTCCGTGCTGCAGTGTATGGCTACATGGTGGCAGTGGTGATGCCAGTACAGAAGGATCAACATTAATTGCAGTATCATAATTGTAAACCTTGGAGTCCAGTGTCACAGATTCTGTGACCAGATAACTGGAGTGCTTTGAGGTACAGGCCACATTTATAGGTCTGACCACTAGTTTGCATAGGTGGATTTACCTGAGGAAGTAGCATGGCAGTGGTTGCAGCTGCATTGTTGGAGGGAAGGTGATGCACTGAAACTAAACTTCTGTTATAACCTATACACATCGTACACATTCTTAACTCATTTAGTGGACTCGACCAAATGCAGTGCACGTTCTGTTGAGAGTGGCCATGTCGAAACCCATGGACAGTGCTGGTTTAATTTGTATAGAAGCAGAAGATAAGCACATCACAGTCAGGGCTGTGCAGACTTCTCTACTGTATCTAGAGGAATGGGGGATTTTTCTTGTTCTGCTCAGACTCATATAAATGGACTTTTGAAATTGTGGCCATTTCTTGAATAAGACAGACGTGTGTATGTGTGTGTGTGTGTTGAGTGTTGCGAGTTTGCTATGCGTGACTGTAGACTGATCTGTGTGTGTGTTCTCTTGTTGCACTCACTGCCACGCCTCGCCACGGCTCCGCCACCGGCAATCTGTGTCTGGTAAGTGCCGCACCTTGTAATTGGTCTGCATGTCACGCCGTTCACCCTGTATATAAGTGCTACAAGTGTTGAGACCTGCTTGTCTTTCCTGTTTGCCAGTGTGTCCACCCAAAACTGTGAGTGATGAGAACAGTGCTAGTAATTGAGTTGGTACCACTGCATGACAGGACCAAACATTGTTGAACTGGCATGTGAAAATATTAAAAAGTTTAACATTGTTGGACTATGGGCATATGAACTGTTTATCATGCATAGTGTACCGCAGTAGGATTTCACAAATTCCAGAATATCTGAAAAAGTTTATATCTTAAATTACTTTGGTACCCAGCTGTTAGTTACATACCTAAATCCTTGCAGCTTTCGAACAACCGCATAGCAAATGTTGCTTGACCATGTTCAAGCTTCCTATATGCTTTAGCATGTCACTCAGTAACCTCGACACTTCAGTTTGTCCTGCCAATCTTCATTCCACCAAATTCTCCATCAACATAATCACCTGGGGCAGGCTACTACAATAGGCCAGTTAGTGGTCGCTGTCCCGAGTGGACCCAGTTGGACTCCACCCCCACTAAGTGAATTAAAAAAAGAACCTCGACACTTGCATAACCTCAAAGCATTTACTGTGACCCTTCATTTGGTATTGTCATTGAAAAGTGCCAGAATGTGGAGCAGTAAGGGGCAAGTGGAGGTAAAGCTGGGCATATTCATGATGCTGTTGGCACTAGATGGAACCTAGCAGTCAGATTCACATTCTGGCCACTTTACTTTCAAGGAGGAAGCCCCCGGTATCCATTGGTTTGGAGAGTTGTTGTCTTCAAGTCTGATCTGGGCCCAGTGGTTAGTGGAAAGGAGAAAATCCCTTCCCCATCCAGAACTTTAGTGACTGAGTCTGTTGTTATTGTCGTTATGTAGTAAATGTTAATTCTGATAGTAATGTTAACGTCTTGTGTGATGATGCTGAGGATATCAAGGTGGCAGTCATGTTAAGACTCCTGTGTTAAGATTTTGTGAGAGCTAATTGAATGTGGGCTATAAGTTGTGATTTTGAATACATTCCTTAGTTGCAGCTGATGGGGACACATTGTATGTATGGAGCTCTGGCATGTTTCTTCATGTTTTGTATGAACAATAAGTGTGATTAAGTGTTTTTTACTACAAGAAATGCCTGGGGAAAAGAACACCCACCTCCCCTTGATATGGTTTTATCTGTAATCAGAGGCCAGGAAAACTGAACAAACAACATACCCCATGAATTTCATGAAACAAGCCCTTTTTCTCATGAGCTCATGTGTTGTAAGGGGAATTGTGCTCCACATTGGTGAGAGATATACACTTTCTTGCCCATCCGAAGTAAAGTAGGTAAAAGGGTGAAGTTGCCCCTCACTTAACTAATTAAGTACTACACCATGAAGAAGTATGGGGGAGTGGAGGTATATACCCACCTTTTTTTAACCTCAGCACTAATTGGAGGTGAGTGGTCAGCTTCACGGCCCAGACTAAAGTAGGTACACAGAAATAAAGTTAAAGTACTTTAAAAAAGTTGAATGTGTACTCTACATATGTGTTTAGGCTAACTATAGGCCATATACACATCATATGGTGTCATTAACACGTGCACATATTCAGTTGAAATTTCTTAAATAAAATTGGTTTCAACAGATTTTGTTGTTTTCATTTTGTGTTCATAATAATTGTAATATTTATTAGAAATTTCTACAGGGGTGAAGTTACAGCCCATATCATTTATTATATGGGCATGTTTTTGTAACTTTGTAAGGGGTGAATTGCATAAAACGAATGTCTGTTATGCAGGGGTGGAATATATTGTTGTATGACTTTGTGATCTGTTTCTCATAGTATAGTTTTCTGCTGTCCTAAGGTTTTCAGAGCTTTATACTGTCACTGTGTTTGTAATGTCTTCCATGGCTGCCATGCTTGTATTGTTCATCCTGAGATTTGGAAAATATGCATGTGGTACGGCACTCAATGTCTTGATGTTCATACTAAGGTTAACGAAAATTGTCAGTTTTAGGAGTTATTTGGGGCCATTGACCCCCTGAATTCACCTAACCTGACCAATGTACTGGGATTTGAAGTAGCCATTCCTTTCCAGGCCTTGCTGTTTCACAGAAGTGCTTATGCTTGTGCACATGTTTGTGTGGATGTTGTGTTGTAATGTGTTTGTGCTGCTAGTGAATCCCGTGTCTCAATGGAATCAGGAATGTATCTGTGGGACGTGCCCTAATAGTGTGTCCATTACGGGCCATTACTATAGAGGACTGTGGTCCTCTGGTAGACATGGTTGCCTCTGAGGGCCCATAAAACTACAAATAGCAATTGTATTGGACGTGAGGGTCTCACAACTTTGACAATGAAGGGCACCATCTTCTTGGTTGTGACGCTGTATAGCCTGGTAAAAGTTTAGTGACATTTCAGATGAAGCGACTGCCTCCATCTTGAGGGAAAAGACTAAAGCAAGCAAATAACTAGCAAGTAGAGGTCTGCTTGCTGCCCGTTTGTTGTTAGTTACTTGCTTGACTTACTCTTCAACCCTGAAGATGGAGGCAGTACATTTCTCAGAAACAGAAAATGGAAGCTGCTCTGAAATGTTGGTGAACTCTTGCGAGCTGTGTAGCGTTGCATCCCAGAACATGATGCTCTAAATAACAGTTTGATTTTGAAGGCAACCTCTTGTCTGGTGTGCGAGTATTACGTCTGCAGGGAGTGACAAGTGTCACTCCAGTATTTTGTTCATGTAATTTCCTTTGGGTATGTTCTGGAGTTAATTCAGGTTCACTGCAAGCATGATATGCCCATGTGAAGTGATTCTGTTGTCCCCGTGACATGACCACTGAGGGTGGTGGAGAGTACAGGGTGACTGTGAATGTGTTAAATAACCAAGCAGTAACGGACAAGGAGAGCCCCTAGCTGGGGAGTTGCCCCTTGTTATGAAGAACTAGCATGTTATTAAATGTTTCACATAGGGTACCCTTAAAATGCTATTAGGGTGATAAAATCAAGGACATTGAGATGAGCAGAGCATGCAGCATGCATGGAACATATGAGAAATGCATACAGGATTTTGTTCAGAAAATGAAAGAGACTGCTTTTGAGACTTCATCATAGATGGGAGGATAATATAATGGGTCATTAAGAAATGGAGTGTGAAATGTTGGCTGGATTTCTTGTGGCACAAGATTGGGTACAGTGGTCACCTCTTGCAGGCATGGCAGTGAATCTGTGGGTTGCATTAAAGGTGGTGCATTTCTTGGCTAGCTGAGCGACTGTCCACTTCACAGGGACTGTGTTGCATGGAGTTGGTGTAATAGGACGTTAAAATGATTGTAGTTGTGATATGTTGTGCTTTGTTTGCAGTCTCTGTCTCAATTACTAAACAGTCTGCACACAGTGTGTGAGAAGAATTTCATTTGGATGCCATGTTGTTTGTGTCAGCTTCTGACCTGCTTATCAGGTATTCATTAAATATTGTATAGGACAGTTATGGTCAAATTGTGGGTTGCAAGCCACGAGCAACTTAGTGTGCCTTGCAGAAATAAATAACATTCAGTTCCCCTTTTATAAAAATGTGGAGCTATACATCCACTCCCCCATACACCATATCGCAAAGAACTGTACACTGAAAACTGGAATTCAGTGCTGCTCGTTTTGTCTCCATTATGGAGATATATATTTTGTAGAAGTTAATTTTTGGAGTTATGTACTTACCTGGAATCTCTTGGATAAAGGACTGTCCACTGTGTGTATTATTGTGTGATGGAATGTCTTGCAGTACAGTCCACCCTTTTGTCAGTGGGCACAGTTACCAGTAGCCTTGAAAGATGGAGGAAATGTTCAGTATTATTCTGTGACCTGAGAAGGAAGTCCCATTGAGTGTTCTTGAGACTTCCCGCTCTCTCTGCCTGCTGTTGATGTGGAGATGCTGAGTCGGTTGTGCCCTCAGTGCAACACCATGGCAGCCTTCATCTGGCTGTGGGCCATAGTGCATTCTGCTCTGATACAGAGTTTCTTGAAGGATTTGAGGATTGCTTTTGTGATAACGATACTGTCATGTGATAGAGTATAACTAGATACAGGGTTTGAATTGGTAACTGGATTTATTGAACATGTACGGTCATAACTACACCAGTCTCACTGAGTTACACAGTCCAAAGGTCACTCTATCTATGGCACACATAAAGTCTTCTCAGTCTTCACCAGCTGTTGCTTGGTAGTGGCTTTCAGTGGCAGAGATTCCCCATCCTCTGGGTTTCTGAACTGTCCCTGACCTCAGTTATCAGCTTGTCACATCTCACAACTGCAACTTTCAGCTGACTCAGTCAATCACTGAACTACTAGTCCTCGTTATATATCCATGTTGTGGACCTCACAGAAAACACCTCTTTTGTTATTGTGTGTTTTCTCGTTGCTGGGGGAACAGAGTGCACAGCTGTTACTTGGCGGTGGGTCTACATTTCACAGTATGTTACTGACGATGCGTGATAGCCCACTTGTTGCAAATGAAGGATTGCACTTCCTCTGCAGGAAGGTGCTCAAAAGTTCCCTGCTTAGAAAATGTTTTTATATGTTTTATGTCAGAATTGCTGCAGTGGTTACCTTTAAGCATGTGTTACATTTTGGGTGCCATCCTCATCGTGTTTTTAATTAAATGAGCACCCAATTTTATACAGAATTGAATGCTTTAAGGTGCTCATAGCTTGAATAACTGCACTGCTAATGTTTAACTGGTGTTCTTGCAGTGATGATCCATGAACCCGCAGTGCTAATTGAAGGCGTGCTGTTTCGAGCACGCTACTTGGGATCCACACAGTTGGTTTGTGAGGGGCAGCCCACCAAGACAACACGTATGACACAGGCTGAGGAAGCTGTATCCCGTATCAAGGTTAGACCAGCACTTGGCTTTTTGTTCTTGTTGTGCGCTGTGCACTTACTGTTGGTGGAAGCCTTAGTTTCAATACTGAGCTTTGATGTGTTGTTAACAGTTACATCTCTTTATTTTTGTAGCAGTGAGGTCCTTGTATTTCATTTGTGCTTCCATGGCAGCAGCACAGAGGTGATAGTGACACTGTTTATTTTAAGTGAACAGTCTCTTTCCATACAATTATTGTGTTTCTGGTCATTATCCATCGTCCTGTTCTTATTTAAAATACATAATGTTTCGGAGACTGGATTCTATCTCTGACTTCAGGTGGGTTCTACTCAGTTGGGCCCAGTTGATAGAGCTAGTCCCCGTCTCTGGACACCATCACCAACTGAGTAGGTTCCACCTGAATGTGGAGACAGTCCAGTCTCCAAAACGTTGTGTGTTGCTTTAGACAAAAACTGGACAATAAATAATGTCCAGGAACACAATAATTGTATTAATGTACCATCAGATCTTGGTCTTATTTCAGTTTCGCCACATAGCTGTAGAAATGAGAGCTGTCACAATCCAAGTGAACAGAAGTGTGTGCATAGTGACTGAAGGAAAGTTAGGGAATGCTTGAGTATGCACAGTACATTCAGCTAGTCTTCATTTGGTTGTACCTGTATGTGCCAACTCAACGAAGGATCAAAGTTATGAGAGACCTGGGTTCAAGTAAGGAATCGAACTGTTGCCTCTGCCCCTTAGGAGGGAGGGCATAAGTTTTGATAAGCCTTGACTTGAACTGTACAGATTTTGTTTGTGATATTTGAACATGAACGTTTAATGTTGAACTCTGTGTATGTATGGGAGTACGTGTGTGGGTGAGATTTAATGTCAAAGTCTTCTTCATTGTTCACTGAATTTGTGTCATGAAGTGTTTTAATCTCTGTGAGGTTGGCAGCAGCAGGTAGGTGCCTCATCTAGTGTTGCACGCTTGGTTGCTTGTTGCCTGCACTGCACTCTTTTTAGGCAGGGACCCCAGAGGGTGTAGTGAGGTGCACAGTTGTCCCCCTTTGAAGGTGACATCTGTTCTGTTCAGATTCTGTCCTCCATTAGAAAGCAGCCCCGTGTGCTGCTGCACGAGTTGGGCTTGGCAGGATTAACTAAACCGGTTTACTCTAAATGAATGTGTTGCTGTGGCAGTCTGGAGACAGCTGGGATGCCCCTTGCTTTCTCCAGGGTGGTTAGCGTGTGTCAACCAGAGGTGCAGTGAGTGTGCTGTGTTTGGGCCAGTAACTACACAAACCCCAGGTTATGTGTACCAACACAGAACCTGTATCTTACACTGAGAATTTTTCCCTAAGTCTCAGTAGCAGAATGCGAAGGTTGAGCGTGATATGGAAGACATTTATTAGACAGAGTCCTGGACAGTCTCATCCACCTCCTATCCTCACAATGCATTTTTAAGATCCATCATAACATTATCTGCCCATCTCTTTCTGAGCCTTACCAGTGGCCATTTTCTCAGAGGTTTCTTGTGAATGTTGAGTATGCATTCTTGTGTCCTGGAACTTTTCCAAAGGATTCAGAATTTTTCACTCATGTATCTGTTTTTCATTTTCCAGATCCTGACTTGATCTGACGAATCTATGCAACTAATTCTTTGCACTGTGTTTCACAGATCATTTCTATTCTAGTAGGAAGGGAACTATTGTAATGATCATTATGGTTACTGAGTTAGCTCGCCCAGGTGGTAATGCTTGTGAATTATATCCGGAAGATGACTGCTTTGAGTGTAAGCTATTACTGCAATTTTTTTGTGGCACATGCCAGGGTAATATCTCTGGTCAGGCCATGACCACTTCCTCCGATCCATTTTTCATGAAACCATCCTAAGCTTCAACTCAGTGTAGTCTGGTAGCATAGTGAAGTAGACCGCAAGTAAATGAACTTTTCTATTGAAACAAACTACATTGTCTCTGTTTACAAATTTCACCAATGCCGTTACTCCTTTTGGCATAAACTGATGTTAGCACAATGTGTTCTAACCCCTGCAGACAGTTTGAGCTATCCCCACAGAGTTTTGCATTCACAGTTCTGGTACCAATGCCATATATAGTTCCCTGCATTTCTGGTTGCGATCATAGTTTTTCTTATTAAATGGAGTGGGACTCTCCACTAGAGTGTTTGCGTGTGCGTGCATGCGTGTGTCAGAATGAGGCAGGATGCCCACCTCTTGTGGTGATGTTGCATCATTTTGGAAGCCCGTGTACGGTGAACAAGGAGACGGATGGCATTGGTGCTGACAGTGCTATAACTAGGATGGCGTGATTGAGACGGCTGGCCGAATTCAGAATGTAGTATAATAATAATCATCATCAAGTTTTAGACCTTCAAATCTGTTCTGTTTGGTTGTGAAATGTGGTCCATTTACTTGTTTGCAGTATGTTTAACGGCAGTATCAGTAGCTCAGACGGGCTAATGCTGGATGTTGGTGCAGTGCAGTTGCACCACTGCCATCCCATATGCTGCAGCAAGCGCTGTCCTGAAGCACATATTTGTTTCATAGTTGTAAATCCAAACGACAATAAGTAAGACATGTCTGCGGATTTATGGAGGGATAGGTGTGAGACACGCGACATAGGAGACAGTATCCAGTGAAAGTTGTCTGTCATGAGAATGGCTGTAGTTTTCTATTCACCTGAACCTTATCGGCTGTTCTCCCAACTTACATATTTTCCCCATTACATGAACTCTGGTCCACCTGGAGCTGTTTGCAAATTTTGTGTTTTCTTACAAAGATTTTCTTCATCATATGTCAGTGTATGGTCTTGAGGACTGTACATACTGAATTGTTGTCTAGTCACGGAATATCAGTTTGTCACGAAATGTTTGGAAGCCAAATGAATTTTCAGGGTGAAGCATGATTCATCTTGTGTCATGGATAGTACTGGATGTCATAATCAGGTTTTAGGTATTATCAAGTTTTGTTTCATTCCTGAGATTTTGCAGACTGTGGATGAACCCAGTACTAAATGCTTTTGTTGAGCCCATGGTTGAAACTCCTCGCATATTTTGATACGTACACAACAAAATCTCTATTTGAATCTGAGCATGGCTGTGAGGAGTATGGCTGTTGTACATGTCTGTTTCAGAACTGCTGAATTAAATTGATTCAGTCCGCCTGTTTGAAACCGGGACAGGGCTTGCTGTGTTAAATAAGCTGCTTGTGCACGTGTTCAGCTTTCAGAGGAAAGTCACGGTGTTTGTTCTGCATATAAACTGATGGACATAAAAATGTAAAAGAAAGAATCCTGCCAGTCCTACCGGGGGCTCATCCTCCCGTGCACCTGACTACGGAGTTGGGGTCCTGCACTCCCAGCTCGTTTGGTGTCTCATCTGTCGTCTCTGCCTTTCTCTCTCTGTCTGTCTCTCTCTGTCTCCCTGGAGCTGCACATGTGTCTCACGCGTGATGTCACCAGAACATGCAACCCGGAACCTCATTACCCGGTACATTATGTAAGGGGATTGCATTCTTATGTAATCCCTCTCAACTTCTGAACTCTATTTCTGTTTGTGTACATGTCAGAAATACGTGTATTGTGCATATCTTCTGTCCCCATAGAAAGTTATGCAGCATTTTTATTGAATAGTAACACATTCCAGCCTTGCTGGAAATTCTAGAGCCTTCCCCACAGTTTACACATTTTTGTTAAGGATGGAGGCTTTTAAAACTACACCTTTCAGTGTTGTTCAGTTTCCATGAGATATTCCTCATGTTCTCAGTTGATACCTTGTTTTGAGGGCTTCGTATTGATCATGGTGTGAACTTGTAGAACATGTGTTAAACCATGCACCACAACAGAAGGTTTTGTCTTGACTTATAACAGAGGGATAGTTACTTTGGAATATTTTTGATCTAATATAGTTACTGCAGAAGCAGAGTGGTTGGTAACTATACACACCACCACCTTCAGTGTTGAGTACTTAACCCTCCTGAATGTTTGAATGGGTTTCACTTGACTCTTGGAGTTAGCAGCAGTTGCTTTCCAGAACATTAAACACTGTGATTTTGGCGTCTTGCAATGATTAATTGTTGATATTGATTGAGCAGTTGGATCCTTGCACTGTGTGGATGTTGGCAGTGTTGCCGCCACTTGAGATGTATATTCAGGCAGCATGTACCTCCAAAACATTGGCAGCACTGCCTGTATCCACACAGTGTGAAGATCTAAGAGTTGAATCAAGATCACTTCAGCAACGTATCCATGTAATAGGGACATGGTGTGTTTTCTTTGAAGTATGAACTAAATTTTGGGATATTATGTTGATTCATAATAAATGATATATTTTTTGTTATGCTTTCATCAGTGAAGCCCATGAGGTTGAACCACTGAACAGGTTGGTCTAGAGGCAACACTCCTAGAATTGTAAGTGGTTCGAATCTTGGCTGGGACATCAGCTATCGTGACTGAGGTTTTCATGGTTTTCCTTAGTCCCTCCAGGCAAATTCTGGGAATGTACCTTTATGGGGCCATGAGCATTTCCTTCCAAATTGTTGTCAGTTTATCATCAATCTCAGAACTGAAAGCATTGTGAAATAACCCCCACCACCACAGACCATGTACCAGTTGGGTGCAGAGGTGCCCTGGGGTTTGCAGTGTTCTGATGGCTGATTCTGTCTTTCTCTTTCTTCTTCTGTTTTCCGATGTACGCACACACCCTGTCTGCCCCTCAGATGTGTTGTCGGCTTCAGTTAGATGGTCGCTGTTTTTATCATCTCACAAGCACTTCACTATAGTTCGTTGTGGGAGTCACACCTCTCAAGTTGCGTCAGACTGATATAGTGCATCCAGTATGTGTGTTTGCAGGTGCAGGGCTTGCAAATTACGTTCTTGAAACCCCTGTTCACATAGAATGAACACTGGCAGGTCTGTTTACAGTCTTCCAAAACGTACTGGACCAACTACATGCCACCATGAGGAGGTCGCTATGTTTAGTAAGCTGATCTTTGGTGATCTAAAGGGGAAACACATTATTGTGAGAGATAATAGAAGAGTTTCATCTGAACTAGTATATTGTAAAATTCCTTCAGTGTCTTGTTACTAAGAACAACTGTAATTACATCACTGTGGAATGTGGGAAGACAAGTTCAGGGTGGCACCACTGGATATGTAATCCATTCTAAATGCTGGATGAACTATGGTACCAGATCTCGGGAGTGCCTGAGTGAGACTGGAAGTGAAAGGAGCTTTGACGTAACTTGAGAGAATCTGTTTTATGGCATCGTTCTGTTATCTTGACGAATCCAGCAGGGCGTGAAGATGTGGTACGCCACCATGGTACTGACAGAGACGACAGATGAAACAGTATTGCCCATCAGACAGCAGCTGGTACCCCTGCCTCTCTCATTCCATGTGCCATAGCTTCAGACGGCCTCATCACTCTGACCACAGCAGATTCTAACATAGAGATAGTTTCAGACTTTCGTGGGAAATCAGTGTAAATGTTGTTAGTGTTTTGGGATGATGGTACTGAGTAGAATTCAGCTGTATTGCCGAAGCTTCAGAGATTATCACTGTTTCCAACTTCAAGGTGAAGTGACTGTGTCAGTGGCCGGCCCTCTTCATGCTGTCAGTATACATGAAACGTTTGTACACTAAGTATCAGCCAGCAGGAAAAGAGGGAAAAGATAGGTCCTGATATGGGCTGAGCTCTGTCTGGGAAGGGGGTGTAAGAGACCTGAATAGAAACCATGGACTGGTGGAAACAGGAATGCGAGAAAATTGGTACTGGCAAGGACAAACGACCAAAACTAAGATGTGCTGCATGCTGATGTAGGGTCTGTCAGTTATGGGTTGTGACCTGTGACCTTCATCCATTGAAATTTGGTGCAGGCTGATTTGATGGCTCCATAAGTGACTGTCTGTGTGGCTGGCTTCCTTCACTCCTGCCGTCGAATTCGCAAAGTGATTGCCGTGGTTAATTGCCATCGGCTGCTGGTAAATGGATTCTTCCCCACCCACCCTATAAGGCTTCTCATGCTGCTGGTACAAGATTTGTCCCAACCCATCCTATAGAACTGTCAGTAACTGTCCCTGGGGTTGCCAGCTGACTGCTGCTGGGCAGGCTCGAGCATGTGGGAGGTTTCAGGACCCTGGAGCTGCGGGAGTGATGGGTGGCAGTGGGCACCATGTGGCAGGATGCCCTGCTGGTTGGCCTGTGGACTCACCACCACCACCCCCCAGTGGTGAGGAAGAAGACGAGGAGGAGGAAGAGCCCCCTGGTGGGAGTGTTGGAGGGACTGGGGGGCTGGCTGGCACCGTGTTCAGACTGCACTTCCTGGGTTCTGTAGAGGTGGACGAGGAGGGGGGCCGCAAACGCCGCAAGCGTCTCAAGAAGCACATGGTCGAAGAGGCAGTCACCAAAATCAAGGTTGTGGGCTTCATATCACCTGATCTGCTCAGCCACAGGGAACAAGTAGAAACAAGACATGAATGTTCAGAATAAGTTGTCTCTTGCTTCATTTAATGTCACTACCTCGGTTGCATTTCTTATGTACTATCTAATGATAGGATGATTATGAATTGGAAAGGATGTCCCTTTTTTGAGACTCTTGTAATAAATCTGTGAAGAACTGCCAAACTTTTCTGAAACCCAAAGGTTTATTACCATGTTCTTTATGAAAGTATTGTGGGACGTACTCAGGCAAATTGAGGAAAATGAGTTCCCATAGCCTGGCTCTTAACTAATATTTGAGTCTGGGATAACCTGAGTATGAAATATGCCACGTCTGGTAGGTAGTGGCCAACATTTTGGAGGAGTTCACTGCCTCCAGCTTCAGGGTACAAGAGGAAGCTGTGAGAGTGGAAGACATGCTGTGAATACATGGAGGTGAAGGCCCACGACAGGCCCTGAGCAAAGGGTTGGGAGTACAGAGAGCATTGGTCCATTACAGGAACGTTTTCAAGGGCTCAGTGAGTGGGAGAAATAATGTCTGTGATTGAACAGGCAGCAAACAGACTGGAGGTAGGAGAAACATCGTACAGAAGCAGTGACTTGTTGGGAACGGAGTCTCTTCATGTCTGATGTTCTGTACACTGTTCTTCTTACTCCTTTTGGTTCACCCAGGGCTCGTGCCATGGTGGCCCCCCCTCCACTCAGCTTACTCTTCTACTGTGAAGATGGAAGCAGCAGTTGTTCCAAAACATTGATAATGATGTACCAGACTGACCACTGCTGTGGAACTTCAGCCTTAATACTAAGCAGCATGTACACTCTGCTGTTTGAGACATTTAATTTGTGGGAGAGTTTTCATGGCTGAGCAGATAATAACAGAATTGTGGAACAACTCTCATTAGGAGTTTGGTGCTGTGGTCTGAAGTCTGGTTCCAATGTCACTGATGAATAAGTATTCCTTATGTGTTTTGATTTGTATTAACGAGGTTTGTATGTTTTGCTCCTCATGCTGCCCTCTCTCTGGATTTTAATGCAGGCATTGGTAAGTTCTGTGCACTTCACAAAGTGAGTTCTATGTCTGTTGCATATAAGGAAGTGCAGACAGTGTTGATATCCACAGTTGAAGTTCACAAGAGCCTATCCCAGAACTGAAGCAGATAGATTGATAAAAATCTGTTCCATATTTGAAGTTCTTAAGTTCAAAGATCTTCATTTTAGGGGCCTTGTGGTTTAAGACACTTGTCTTAAATGTAAATGGTGATAATATGTCCTGTGTGGCCAAAAGCTTGAAGTATCAAGCTTCCTGTGCCATCTTGTGTTGGTAGGGGCCTTCAGTTAGTTGATCCCCAATCTAAAGCAGTCCTGGCACACACCAGAAAGATTAATTCTGTCAGAATTCTGAGGTGTAATGAGCCCCAGAGCCTAATTTGCAAGTAAAATAAACAATGACATTAACTTCATATCATGTGAAATTCTGTTTGTGCAGTTTGTTGCATTTGTTTTGTGGAATTCTCTCATCTCATAACTCAGTAGCAATATGCAGTTTTCCTCCCACATAATTTAATATTTACATACACAGTAATGTGAAACCAGGATAGGTTGGTGTAGTGACCAGGCTACCAGCTGGACAACCTAGGAATGCTGTTTAATTCCAGGCAAGACATTTTCTCCCCTCCACGGCTTCCAAGACTGGATCTGAGGCCTATCCAATGGGTACCAGGGGCTCTTTCTTAGGGCGTAAAGCAGGTGGGGAATGAAGTTGACCACTGTGTAAGATTTTGAGTTTTCACGGCGGTGACTATGAAGAATGCTGTCTTCTGGGATGTGGTGCCGTGTAGATCTTGCATTCACATAAGAGCTACACAGTGCCACATCTCAGAAGATGGCATTCTTTCAAGTTGGCCACTGATCTCAATCTAGTGCCACAATTAAACATAAATGGAGTTATACCTACAGGCCCTCATGCATCATGTGAGATGCTAAATTAAGAGCAGAGACAGACAACTTAACCCTCTTTTTTGCCTTTGTTTTATTGTATTTATTCATGTGATGTTTCGTTTTACTACTGAATAGGAAGTACTTTGTCAACTGAGTTAATTTAACTTAGCTCAAGCGGTTAGTCGCTGGCTTCCCACCGCGGCAGCCCGGGTTCGATCCCGGATCTGGCCAAGTGGGATTTGTGGTGGACAGAGTGGCACTGGGGCAGGTTTTCTCCGAGTACTTCGGTTTCCCTTGCCAATAGCACCAATTGCTCCACAATCACCCTCACCTATCATCTGGGGCTGGTACAATAGGCCAAATTGGCCGCAGTACAAGGAACTTAGTCCCACCCCACGAGCAATAAAAAAAGTTAACCTACTCTGCAGCTGTTGACACGAATATGGAAGTGAGTTATTTATTTTATTGTATTGACGGATATATAAAAACGATACGTTGACATACACAGCAGGATGTGTTCCCTGAAGATAATTGATTCTACACTCATTTAAATGTCAGAGTTACTGTTATTGTGAGCGAGTTTAGTTCAGTCAAGTGGCTGGCTTTCTGCAACCAGAATTCGGTCCCTAGCTGACAGAGGAGTTCTCTCTTTGCTGCCACAATGTTCAGGCTGACTTGGGGGTCCCACACAGCCTTATCAGTGCCTTCTGCCCTAGGGATGGAGCAGTCAGAGCATGAAGCTGACCTCTCCGCTACATGGCACTGTATAGAGCTTGACCTCCGCAGTCTTGTGGTATGGTACCTAGATACAGGAGCAGTTGTGTTATTAGAACCTGAAGTTTTGCTTTAGAACTATTGTTGTCTGTTCCTTGTGTGTGTAGTGACACTTGGTCTGTTGACATAGGCACCAGAAGGAGAGACACAGCCCAGTACGGAGGTGGACCTCTTTATATCGACTGAGAAGATCATGGTACTGAACACTGATCTCAAGGTACGTGTTACCGAGACACTTCAGAGGCAATGAACTTCAGGCTTTGGTAGTTGTTCAGCTGTTAAGAAAATAAAACTCTCTTGTGGAGCATGAATATTAATTATCATTTTCACAAGCACTGCCCTTGCTTCCTGTCCTGAGCCATTTCAATTCAATTCACGCACATTTTTAATATTTTCCCATTTGTGCCTAGGTCTTGCATAACAAGACATGAGATGTAGTGTGAATACATTTGAAATATGCATCATACACCAACTGTGCAGTAATACATTGTTCTCATGTCTGGTGTGGCACCACATGGTGAATGTTGCGTACAGAACCCCTTTTATCTTTGCATGACAGAACATTTCTTGAGTTTACAGTCTTTCAGGACATGATGCCACATGTTGGCAGAGGGGAAAGCTGTTCCTCTGAGGTGCTGCTATCCCTCCACCAAACTCACAGCAGCAGAATCTTGATATTTCCCTGGGTAATATGCTTGCAGGAGATCATGATGGACCACGCACTACGCACCATATCGTACATAGCGGACATAGGAGATCTGGTGGTGCTGATGGCTCGAAGGAGGTTTGTGCCTCATGACATGGAGGAGGCTCCCAAGATCAACCGCACACCCAAGATGATCTGCCACGTGTTTGAAAGTGAAGAGGTGAGGAAACAAGTGAGAAACAAGTGGTCAAGTTGCCTGTGTCCCCCAGAGCATGTCTGAAGGATATTGGCTTGTTACAGGCACAGTTCATTGCACAGTCAATTGGTCAGGCATTCCAAGTGGCATACATGGAGTTTCTGAAGGCAAACGGCATTGAGGACCATAGCTTTGTAAAGGAGATGGATTACCAGGAGGTGTTGAACTCACAGGAGATCTTTGGGGATGAGCTCCAGATGTTTGCCAAGAAGGAGATGCAGAAGGAGGTCAGTACTATAAACTCTGTTAGATATTTTGAATTGTCTCATTTTGGTCCGTTACACTAATAATCACCAATTGTCAATAGATTTTCCGTAACGTGCAACAATATATATTTTGGTCACTTTTTTATCTCATCTGCCTTACATGTTTCGGTTCCAAGGAACCATCTTCAGAGGCACTTACAACAAATCATGAAAACACTGGCACAGCTCAACATCCACAGTATGTAGTTATTTGTGGAGACTATTACATACCTCTACGAACAAGATATGCACAACAAAGTAAAGCACTTCATCGATAATAATAATATTATCGAGCTAAAAACAAACCCAACTTCAAGGTTCCAGAAATTAATGGAAAACACATTAAAAACATGTAAGAACGTACTAAAACCAGAGACTAGGAAATATACGCACCAAATGAACCCACAAGCGCCCAAACTAAATGCAAAAATAAAAATACATAAACCAGATGCACCAATAAGGCCAGTTATAAATAATACCAACGCCCCTACACACAAACTAGCTAAACATATGCACAAACAACTAAAAACCTTATTAAACTTGAAATATGAATATAACATTACTAATACCTTAAACTTTGCGAATAACATCAGCAAGCTAAAACTAAACCCAGAACATAAACTTCTTACAATGGACATTAAAGACCTTTATGTGAACATTCCAACAAACGAAGTAATCCGCATTACTAATGACTTACTTATCCAAAATCGTATAGGCAAAACTAGTAAAGATGAAATTATCACGATTCTCCGAATGATATTGAATCAAAATTACTTCCAATACAACGATAAATTCTATAAACCAAATTCGGGTGTTGCCATGGGCTCCCCCTTGTCAAGTCTAATGGCAGAAGTATTTCTGCAGCATTTCGAACAAAGGGAAGTAAAACATTTGCTAGAGGACAAACGTATCATCTACTATAATAGATATGTGGATGATATAATTTTGATTTATAACCAATTAAAAGTTACACCCCAATACATCTTAGATCAATTCAATAAGCAAAATAAAAATTTGCATTTCACATTAAATGAAGAGGAGAATAACCAAATAACGTACCTTGACTTGCAGTTAACAAATAACCACGGACAAATAAGAATGGAGATATATAGAAAGCCCACATCGACAGACACAACGATAAGTAATAGTTCTTGCCATCCCAAGGAACAAAAATTGGCAGCATACAAAAATTGGTTACATAGATTATCCATCCTACCTCTGGATAACGTAGCAAAGAGTAAAGAATTAAATACAATCATTAACATTGCGGAAAACAATGGTTATAGTAAAGAATTGATTACACGTATGTATCACAAATGTCGACAACTAAACAAACTTACCCCTATTGAAGGAAGTGAACAGAAATGGGTTTCATACACATATAACGGATGTTACACTAGGAAAATTACGAAGCTTTTCAGAAACACGAACGTAAGAATAGCCTTTAAAGTAAATCATACATTAGGTAAAATACTTAATACTAAACAAAGCATAAACTCCTATGAGCAAAGCGGCGTTTACAAATTAACCTGCTTAGAATGCCAACAAGTGTATATAGGTCAAACAGGCAGAAAGTTGATAACACGCTATAATGAACATATAAGATGTATAAGGTTCAATAAAGATGACTCAGCCTATGCTCAACATATTTTAAATCGACAACATCAATATGGCCCAATTTCGCAAACTATGGAATTGATTGAAGTGGCAAGGAAGGGTAAATTAATGAATATAAAAGAAGAATATCAAATCTACCGCCACTACAGGGACATCAAATTAATAGATGAGCAGAAACAGGCAAAAGAGATCAATACTCAGAACAGCATGTTTGACCTCATTACTACTTGTACACACACACCCCCCACCACGTCACGATACACACAGCTTTAAATAACATCGACGTGCACTCTCCACTGCAGTACACAATACACATCGCGTAAGATACACCCGACCACAAGGTAAGGCCAGGATCAAAAATATTATTTACCATTAAATATATAATAATAGATACAACCTAATGTAATATAATATCTTTGAGCCCACACAACCCTGTGCTGACGCCTCCCCCCATTGGGACGATTCACCAAGAAGGAGCCTGAATATTTTACTTGAACGTTTTTTAGTTTTTAACTTTAAATTTTAACGTTGACGACTCGGTTTGAGGGTGGTTTTTTAGATGCAAGTGCTATACCTGCATTCAAGATACCGGGAAATGTTGTGCTCTACACTCCGATATATGTAATAGTCTCCACAAATAACTACATACTGTGGATGTTGAGCTGTGCCAGTGTTTTCATGATTTGTTGTAAGTGCCTCTGAAGATGGTTCCTTGGAACCGAAACATTAAGGCAGATGAGATAAAAAAGTGACCAAAATATATATTGTTGCACTTGACGGAAAATCTATTGACAATTGGTCTGTTAGATATTTCTAGGAAGCGGGGTCTTCAGATCATGACATGAAGACACATTGAAATGTGTTAGCTAACTAACTGCATGCCACTCACTCAGCTACTCAAGAATTTACCAACATTGTATGGAACCCAAGAGTTCATTACTGTGTTCACAAGAACCCAGTCCTTAGCCAGATGAATCCAATCCATACCTTTCTGTAAGATCCATTTTAATAGTATCCTCCCACTGAAGTCTAGATCGTCATAGGGGTTTCTTTCCTTCTTGCTTTCCCACCAAAACCCTATATGCATTCCTTTTATTGCCCTAACATGCTACATGCCTGGCACATCTCACCCCCTTCCAGTTCATCGTTCTAATTATATTTGGTCAAGAGTACAAGCTTCTCATTACAGATGATTCTCCGGCCTCCCAAACTGTAGAAATCCGTTGCACCTTGACACAGCTGAATGCCCAAGAATTCATTGTTTGCCATTCTCTAGTTCAACATTTCCCAAGCAGAGCTGTGAACACATGGAAAAGAGGGCCTACAGATGGTGAACTAATGTTAATGCTAAGAGACTGCACTGAATTAGAAATGTGCTTCATAGGTGTTGCTGACATTCATCAGTAATGATTTTCTGAAGTAGCTAAATCACATTTTAAGCAATTTTTATACGTTGGGAGGCCTTGAACTTTGTATACACACCAAGGTAGTCCCTGACTGACTGACTGACTGAGTTCAGGATGTTGGGGTTCAGTCCTGATTGACTTGCTGCCATGTCTGAATCGGCATGTCAATGTGGTGACTGTTTCAGGTGGTAGTGCCCAAAGCTAAGGGTGAGATTCTGGGTGTGGTGATTGTTGAGTCTGGCTGGGGATCGATGCTTCCAACTGTGGTGATTGCCAATCTGGCTCCCTCAGGGGCAGCAGCTCGCTGTGGGCAGCTGAACATCGGTGACCAGATCATCGCAATCAATGGCGTCAGTCTGGTGGGCCTCCCACTGTCCACGTGTCAGAACTACATCAAGGTGCGAGTTTGTCTGTCTGTCTGCATAAATAGCAGGGACATATGTCATCATTATCAGGCCTTCAAGTATTGTGTCAGGTCTTAATTGCCAAACTAGAAATTTATTACTAATAAGAATTTAACATTTTCATTGCCAAATTATTTTAAATGCTTTGAACTGAGTTGGACAGTGATTTTTAACATTGGAAAAGGATTTTAAAAAGTGTAAGTTAATTAAACTGTTACAGAATACCAAGACTCAGACAGTGGTGAAGTTAACAGTGGTTCCATGTGCACCAGTGGTAGAAGTGAAGATCAAGCGACCGGATACCAAATACCAGCTTGGCTTCAGTGTACAGAATGGAGTGGTGGGTGTTGACACTGTGACTGCATTCTGGCTTCTCTTAGGTTGTCTGGAGTTCTCGTACCGATTGGTGTTCAGGCATGCTAAGGAAATTGGCAACTAACTAGATCACAATAGAAAAGACTTGGATGTTTTCAGTTTAATAGCTTAAACCTTCCACTGCTAGATGTTATTGCATGGCTGAAGTGTGGCTTTGCCCCCTCCTCAGATTTGCAGCCTGTTACGTGGGGGCATCGCAGAAAGAGGCGGAGTGCGAGTGGGACATCGCATCATTGAGATAAACAACCAGAGTGTTGTGGCCGTTCCCCATGAGAAGATAGTGAATCTGCTGGCCACCTCTGTTGGAGAAGTAAGTGTGTCATCTCCTGGCTCCGTCACAGTCAGCAGAGGCATCCACTGAGGTATGGAAGCTGGCATGACAGACCAACTTTCCCTGCCCTGATAAGGTTTCTATTTTTCCAGATCCTCATGAAGACGATGCCAACGTCAATGTTCCGGTTGCTGACGGGACAAGAGACGCCCGTATACATCTAGTTACGAGCCCAGTTCATCACAGTGTGTATCTAGTCAGAGTTGTCTGGCGAACAGTAGATCAACCCCAGCCCCCAGCCTTCTCTTCCTCTGGATGGGGATCTTTACATTCCAAAGATTTACTTTGGTGGTACATTAGATTGTGTTTCTGCCTGTTGTCCATCATTATTGGACAGTTCGTTCGCAAAGACAAGTGTGGCGATGAAGTGCCTGCCCGTGAAATGTCCGGGCATCCGAACGGAGGTATGTGCCAGGAACATTGACATATCGAACAGTGGCCATACATGCACATTGCTGTAGTGTCAGTAGTGACCTCTTTCCTATCTCTCTGTTATGTTTAAGTCCTGCAACACAGGGATGGCCAACTGGTGGGCCATGTATGGCCTGTGGTGATGCCTTTGTTGTAGTTTGTTTACCACTTTATCCAGAGTTGCCTTTATTCATATAGAAAGGGATGCCACTGACCTTTATTGGGTGTGTGGTAAAGTTGGCTATCCCTGGAGACCTACAGCACAATGTGCAATGGTGTGGGGCCACTCAGAGTGCGTATTCCTCTGGCATCGGACAGGCCCAGTGATAAAGGTATTGCTTACTATTCACACCCCCATTGTGATTTATTTATTGGGGCAGAGACCCCACAACACATGTAGCACCCCACACCTGTGACTTGTAAGTGGAGACATTGTACTCTGATACTGCTTACAGAATAAAATAAATTATGTGTTATTGTCTTCGAGTTCTTATGTTTATTGAAATCTTGATGGCAGTTGGCAAGTCATCTTTACATCCAGCATTGCAGGCTGTCTTCAAATCAGAACTCAGTGACATATGCATCTTGACAATGCAGAAATAACTGTGTAAGTAGTGTGGTAGAGGTTTCAGTGGCATATCATGTGGAAGAGTGCACATTGTATGCAACTTGAGAAACCTCTCAGCACCTCTAAAATGGAGACCAACAGACTTGACAGTTTAGAAATTGTCCTTCATTAGATTAAAATATATAAGACTATAATTTTACTTGTTTTCTATGGGTGTGAAAGGTGGTTGCTCACAATAAGGGAAGAACAGACTGTGTTAGAAAACAGGGCACCGAGGGAAATATTTGGACCTAAGAGGGTGTAAGTGACAGGAGGAGGGAGCAGACTGTATAATGAGGAGTCCCATAATTTGTATGTCCTGCCAATTATTAGGATAATCAGATCAAGAATGAGATGACTGGGGGACACAGTGCACATGGGAGACGTTAGAAATGTATCAAAATTTTTGGATGAAGTATGAAGGAAAGATATCACACCTATATGGGAGCATATTATTAAAATGTATCTTGCACAAAATGTGTGTCAGAATGTGGAGTAGTGATCTGAGAACAGGGCTCAGTGGTGGGTGTCTGATTCAATCTGGGGAATTTATTGACTAGATGAGTGATTACTAGCTTCTTAAGGAGGACTCGCCTCCATGGTGCTAGATCATTAATTGAGAATGATGTCAGTAAAGTGTAATTATGGCCAACATCACTGCAGATGCTGTACCATCCAGCCTGATATTTGTAGCAGTAGGTGGCATTCTAGCAGACTGTAGACATATTCTGAGGGTCCTCTGATCAAATCTGCATCAGGACACCACTTATCCTGAGGTTTCCGATAGAATTCAGTCCCTTAAACCAAACAATACCTCGACCATTTCCATCTAAATCCTTTACAATTTATCAGTTGTCCAGCCTTTTGACACTGTATGGTTGTAAAATGGACAATGAATAGAATTCTGTCCTATCCTATGAGATATAATGCTGTGTAGTCCACTGAAAGTCAATTGATGTTTCAGAGGAACATGTCACTTCCATCTTCAGGGTGAAAGAATAAGGCAAACAAGGACCAGTGTGAAGCAGGTAACAAGCAGAGCTCTTGGTCCACACATACTGATGTTAGTCATCTGATTATTTTGCGACTTCAGGCCAATTACTGAAGTTAGTAGAATTTGATGTTAAGATGGGCTAGTGCATTGGGATGAAAATGGGACAACAGACTGTGGGCAGTAACACTGGTACCTGAATATGGAGGAACTGTTCCCCAGAACAATACAGTCTGAAAACAATCACCACCAGAAGAACTTTTTTATTGTATCACACTAGAAATATTAAGTAAAATCATAAGTCAGCCAGGTATGCCCCATGTGTCAGTAAAGTGTGATGTACAAGTAGAGTCTAAAGGGTTCTGATGGTGTATAACACTCAGAATTACTGGGTTTTCGGACTCTGTCCATCATCGCGTATTCTAAAAACTAGAGAACACAGTGTTTCGGAAACTGGGTCTGTTTCCGTCTTCAGGTGAGTGGGGAGACACCTATTGTCTTGGGTTCCTTAGAAAGAGCTAACCCCAACTGAGGACAGCAACAGATCCAGTTTCTGAAACCTGTTCTCTAGTTTTTTGAACACTGAATGAAGAACAAAGTCCAAAAACCCAGTAATTCTGAGTGTTGTATTGGTCATACACACAAAACACAGGAATGCTTTCTATGTGATATGACTCATCCATTGTGGATTGTGTAAATCTCTGAAGTAATGCAGTGGGAGCTAAATTTTCCAAGATTCATTATACAATGTTTCTGGTTTCATTTGCTGCAAGCTACTGTTTTCAGAATGTGGTTTTATTAAATAAATACATCATCAACATCACAAAGTTAAATTGGGTTAGAAGGCTACAGCAAGAACACTTCTGACTGGTATCTGGGAAGTCCTTGGTTCAAATTTTGGCCAGGATATCAGATATCATCACAGAAGCTTTTCATGGTTTTCCTCACTCCCTCCAAGCAAGATCTGTGATAGTACCTTAAATTAGGCCATAACCGCTTCCTTCAACTTCTTTCAATGTTACTATTCACTGCATTACTGACTCCATGGAGGTAGTCCTTGACAAGCTAACAGTCAGCTACTAAAGAACTTACAAGAATTTATGGAACCTGAAGATTCACAACTGTGTTCATAAGAGCCCACCAATCCACTCCACACCCTCCCATTCTATTTCTGTAACACTCATTTTAGTATTACTGTACCATCTATGCGTTAGGTATTTACAGTGGTTTGTTTTCTTCAGGTCTTCCCACCAAACCTTTTATGCACTTCTGTTCACTCCCATGACTGCTATATGCTGTGCCCATCATACCTCCTTGATTATGTCACCCAAATAATATCTGGCAAGGCGTGCATATTACAAAGCTCCTCGTCACATCACTGTCTCCTCCCCCGTTACTTCATCCCCCTACTAAAAGCATCCTTAAGTAAACTAGACTAAATCACAAAATTATCCACTTCAATATGTTTTGACACAAGTCACCTACTGAGTAGTCAAATGGTAGGTAACTGCTGTGCTGTTGTTCCACTGTATCACATTATGCCTTAAGACCTGTGCTTCCACATTGTACTCTATGCTAAAAAGGTACAACCTACATAACCAGAGCATGTTGCAATAGTCAGTGCAAAATTAAACAATTATTGCAGGCAGATCATTGCATATTCAGAGATTGGGGGGGGATATAAAACAGCATCGCAAATAAGATTTCTTTAATGCTAGTGGCAGTAGTTCGGAAACAAAGATGGTGACTGATCCAGGGGAAGGCAAAGTGTGTACTATTGTTTGTGAAAGCTCAATTTATTGAAACAGTACACAATACTGTCAATTCATGACATTGTGCCTAATTATGCACATAGGCAACCAGACTGTTGCCTTTTTCTTTTATGTACATGAATAATAAGGGTGGAAAAAGTATTAGATGGGGGCACTGCACCCTCACAGAACCCAAACACAACCATCTTGGCTTCCTATGACTAATTTATTCAAATCATTAAGAACTCTACAACAATGATGATGAACCAGGCACAGATAAAAAAACAGCTCTTCCTCTCTGATGCACAACTACGGGTTCGTGTGATCACGAATCAGTAAGTTGATAAAACAGTAGATATCATAAAAACTGTGACTGAAGAATTATACATACGTACATGCTCTTTATTTTGTAAATATTGAAGACCTAAACCAATTTGCTGTAATGCAACCTTTAGGCCAAGTAAAATACAAAACTTATTGGATGTGTTGGTTTTTCATATTGCCAGTGCTTGGCAACGATTATTTTGGCAACAATTTCCCAGTCATGGAAAATACAATTGTCATTTGAAGCGATAAGAAAAGAATCATCAATGAAGAATAGTTCAAAAGTAGCCAAGATTGCAAGACACTCGACATAACAGTGATTTTTTTCACCTGAAGCCATTTGCAAATGACATGGTGTGATAGAAACTTGCTTTCTCACAACTGATCTTGACCATGTAATGTGCAAATGGGCTGTACAACTGCTGAAACTGTTCTAGGTATTTCCAGAGCCCTGCATGGGTGGGCAGTTACCCTATTAGGAATACAAGATGCTAAGCTGATTGGAATTTCCTACCTGCAAATTAGCATTCTCAAGTTTACATAGTAATTAGAACATAAAAGTGTGTTGGTTCATTGACAGTGATATAAACTGGCCCATGCATGAGTCTATACTTTTTATCAATTCAGTTCCTTATCAATTGTCCATAGCATATCTTCGGGTCCACTCTTTCGCGTTACGGATGGCCTCGGCTTCATTTACTTTCCAGAGTTCTGCCACATCATTTGCCAATGGATCGTCTGGGTTTGGTGCACTGAGAAGGGCCTGGATTGAAAGGAGGACCGTTCGAATTTGTAGAGCTGGGCTCCACTTATCCTTTAAAATGTCCAAACAAATACGTCCAAGTCTGTCAATATTAGGATGATAGATTTTAGTGATGAAACGAACTTTGGGTGCTGACATAGGATAATCTTCTGGCAGAAATAGTTCCAGCTTGAATAATCCTCCTTCAAAGGGTGAATCTTCTGGGCCGGTGACAATAACATGGAAATATCGGGCGTTACTCTCATCCGGCACGGCACTGATCCCAGGGACTGGTTCTTGCATCAAGCGCTGTGTTTCCTTGATTATTCTACGAGGTAACGCTGTCATTTTGAAACACTTCTAATATTCAACTTATAAACTTCCACACAAAAATAATATAAGTCACACTCCGATTTGTAGATTTTTGGAGGTAGTACAATTTGCAACAAAAAGTCACCGATTCGTTTCTGTTTTCTAAGCTCCTTCACTACTTGACGTCAAGTTCTATCGAATCAGTTATTGCCAAGATTAGTCCTCGTAAGAAAAAGTCTTCTTGTAGTATACCCGTGATACAAGCTCCTGCCATCCACCAACGCAGCAACAAATTAATAACAGGGAGACGAAAGAAGGAGAACGAATTATGTTTCGTGTTCTACTCCACGGAAGCTGCTAACAGCAGAGGCTGGACAATGCCAAACTGTTATCTTAGACATTTTATCACGCATATAGCCGAACACTGCGAAGGGCTACCATTCCCCAAACGAAAACTGCCGCTGCAATATGTGACCCAGAACCCAGAATGTGGAAGATACCACATTATAGATTGCAAGCACAGGGCTCAATCATTGCGCTCTAACTCGGAAGAAAATTAATGCACATTATGCTCAATTCAGCGCTTTATTATTATTATTATTATTATTGCCAAGTGTAGTTGCACCCAGTGTGCATGTTAATCGTCTACATCCTGAAGGTGAAAGCAGCATGCTCCTCCTAAACGTTGTTGAATTTTTGCCAGGCTACACAATATTGCAAGACTGCAATAATTTTGCTTCTGGCATTGGTGTTACAGAAGTATTAATAGCACTCCGTACATAAATTCAAAGCGTCTATGAAATAATTTTCATCTTTGACACCGTTTTCCGTGGTGATGTTCTCAGAAAATGAACGTCGCAAAAATCGTACCGTATATCTAGTCCGTGGCCATGTTTTCCGATGTTTTCAGTTCGAGACGTCCAAGTCGTTCAAGTGATCCGTGGACGAAGTGTTTGGTCGGCATGTAAGTAGGTGTGGGTCTGTAGCAGTCCGGATCTGTAGGGTCTGCAGTGTGATGTGAGTTGTACGGTTCTATGGTGAAGGAATATCAAGTTACATTTATTATTGCTTTTACGTAACTTGGGAGAAACTGAAATGTCTGATGTGGAGGATGATTTTATGTGTGAAGAAGAGGAGGACTACGGATTGGTAAGAAATTGAAGTTCATAGTTATGATTTCGTATTTATAGCGGCAAATGAGATTTGTAGCAATAGATCACTGTAGGCCGCGGTGCAAGGCCTACCCCTCATACATTCATTCATTAGTCATTTATGAATGCAGGAATATTCAGAAGACAGCAACTCAGAACCAGATGTGGATCTAGAGAACCAATATTACAACTCCAAGGCTCTGAAGGAAGATGATCCTAAAGCAGCCCTTGCATCCTTCCAGAAAGTGCTTGATTTGGAAGGAGGAGAGAAGGGTGAATGGGGTTTCAAAGCATTGAAACAAATGATAAAAATCAATTTTAAACTGGTTAGTGTATAAATTATATATTATTTTATAGTATTCATTGACACGATTGGGAACAAGCTTGCAATTTTGTTACTGTTTTCTGAAGTTCAGAATGAGGAAGACTTAAATATTGGAATGTGTTCCTTTTTGGCCATTGACACAATAAATTTTCAAACAAATCTTTTCAGTATCACTGTATTAACATTGGTTTTATTTAGTGACTGCTACATGATTTGATCCATGTTTGGATTATCATCAGGAAGTTTCTTAATATGTACAACACACACTCTAAAGAGAAAATAAATTCATCATGGTACTACACAAGAAAATCAGGAAGAAATACATACTGTATGTCCAAAAAGTACCTGACTTTATTTTTTTCCACTGTAAGTAATGGCCAAAGGGGTGGGGAAACTGAGTGTAGTGGTAGAAGGGACTTTGATGCGCATGCGTGATTTTTTGCTGACTCGCAACACTGCCGGATGTGTCTGTGGCTGCCAGATGTCGAAGTGGTGTAACATGTTCGTCGCATTCTCATTTCGCTCAAGATGACAGAACGCTTGGAGCAGCGATACTGCATTAAATTTTGTCAGAAACTTGGGGATACTGAATTGGAAACAATTCGCAAAATTCAGCAGGCTTTCGGCGATGATGCAATGGGGGTCACTCAAATTAAACAGTGGTTCAACTGCTTTAAACATGGCCGTATGTCGGCGGACAGTGAGCAGCATTCCGGGAGACTGTCAACTAGCCGAAATGCTGATGTCATTGAAGAATTGGAGACACTGATCACGGAGGACTGTCGTTTGGCCATCCGTGAAGTTGCTGATGAGGTTGGGATCAGCAGAGGTTCTGCAAACACAATTTTAACTGATGATTTGGGCATGCGAAGAGTGGCGGCAAAATTTGTGCCCAAGCTGCTTTTGCCGGAGCAGCAATAACTCAGTCTTGAGGTCGTGCAGGACATGCTGGAGTGTGCCAACAGGGATTCTGAGTTCCTGAAGACTGTGATCACTGGTGACGAGTCGTGGGTGTATGGATATGACCCAGAAACCAAGGTCCAGGCGTCACAATGGAAGCACCCAACATCCCCGAGGCCCAAAAGAGCACGACAGGTTCGGAGCAATGTGAAGGTGATTCTGACTGTTTTTTAGATTACCGGGGTATTGTGCATCATGAGTATGCACCACTAGGCTAGACTGTCAATAAGAAGTACTACCAAGAACCCCTCCGCCATCTTCGTGATGCAGTTTGGTGCAAGAGACCGGAGCTGTGGGATGCACGAAACTGGCAGCTGCTTCACGACAACGCCACAGCTCATTCATCGCACCTGATCCAGGGTTTCCTGATGGAGCATGAAATTCCGCAGGTTCGCCAGGCTCCCTACTTTCCTGACATGGCTCCTTGTGATTTCTGGCTGTTCCCGAGATTGAAGACACCGCTAAAAGGCTGCCGTTTTGACAGCCGCGAGGACATCATACAGAACGTGATGGCACCGCTGCACACAATTCCAAAAGAAGCCTTCCAGAATTGCTTCCAGCAATGGTAGGATCACTGGGCTAAGTGTGTGGAGTCACAAGGGGCCTACTTTGAAGTCGATTAGTAATTGTAACCACCCAGATACAGAACTTTTTTTTCCCGGCCCAAGGTCGGATACTTTTTGGACAGAGTAGCATACAAGTAGCAACAAGAATTGTATGCGAGTAATCAATCATACCATATGAAACAAACATTAACAGTGAATTCTTAAAGACATTATCACCCTCGAACATACAAGAAGCATCGACAAGATACAAACACTAATTTATACAATTTTAGCCCAGAGGATTAACTGTAATACCAAAAAAGAAAACCAATGTTTGTTGTAATGGTATAGAAATCAATGGATTTTTAAAATAATACTAATATGGATTGATATTAGGACAATTCAATAACAAGCACATATTTAGGAAAGTATACACGTAGCAGACGCTAAGTAAAACCAGTGTTAGTACAGTGATATTGAATTGGCTTGTTTGAAAATTTGTTGTGTTGACAGCCAAAAAATCACATTGTGATGCACAACAGGATGCAGACAGTAATGGTAGTTAAATATATCAGCCTAGACTAGTCATTGAGCATATTATCAAGATTTATTGGAGACTGTAGATGTTCTTGGCATGGCTAACTGGTGAATTGGCATGGACTGTTCTACATTTCCAAACTTTCCACTGTTCTCGCACTACAAAGGCTCCAAGCATTGGCATTTGTGTTACTAAGTCTACAAGTCAGTCAGAAGCAATGGTATAGCTAAGTGTACGCTGCATGGCTGTTGCAGAGCAATTACCGGGAGATGATGGCGCGCTACAAGCAGTTGTTGACATACATCAAGAGCGCGGTGACACGCAACCACAGTGAGAAATCCATCAACTCTATCCTCGACTACATTTCCACATCGAAGAATGTGAGCCCTTTTTAACGCTGTCTCCTGTGAACAGTTAGAATAGGAGGAGGGGTGTCCTGTAGAGTTTTTTTTTTTTTTTTTGTAAGGAACCTGTTGCATTTGTCTTCATGGTAGCCTGAAGGTGGCAATGTTGGGAGAAATCTACCAGAGTTCATGGCGTTGCATCAGTTAATACAGTATTCTTCAAGGTGATGTATGTTTGCAATAAGGAAGCCAGTTTCCTGTCCGAATGGTTTATGTCAGGACAAGAAGCCATAAATAAACTCTAAATCAGTCTTCTTGTGTATCTGGAGGGTTTTTAAAGTAATAGAAGTGTCTCTTGGCTGTATTACAGCCTGTTGCATGTGGTGGTATTCTTTTGCTGAAACCGTAGAGACTCCAGCGAAAGAATAGATGGTTTAGGTTGATTAGAATGTTATGTCTGTTAACTGTAAATGAAAGTCAGAGTAGAAACATCCCCCTGAAGTAACTGGAGATTGAGCGCTGATCTACCTGAATGAGAGTCCCGCATGCTGACCAAGTTATGGAGATTTTTCCATCATGTTTTGTTATGCCTCCTTAAACATACATATTCTATTTTATTGTCCTCTGGAACCTCACATCCAGTGAGAGATCAGCTCCATGGACCCTCTATTCCACGTGAGTACTGGAAGAGATTGAGTTGCCACATTTTACTATAACTGGGATGGTGCATGACGGCCACAAATGCAGCATGCAGTGCAAACATTTTGTATGAGAATTTCAGTGTTGTGACAGTCCGTGGTATTGCAGATGGAGTTGCTACAAGACTTCTACGAAACAACATTGGAGGCTCTGAAAGATGCAAAAAACGACCGTCTGTGGTTCAAGACGAACACGAAACTTGGAAAGCTGTATTTTGACCGTTCGGATTTCAACAAACTGGCCAAGATACTAAAGCAGCTACACCAGTCATGTCAGGTGAGTTGCAGGCAGAATTGAGTGGTACTCTGCCAACAGACTTCTGTGAATGTTAGGCACACATGTTCCTCTGATTCCCCTATTATGTCTTTAGTATGTCTTTATAATAGTGACTAGTTGCTTTGGGTAAGTTGTAATGGTTTATTTTGTGTGTGTGTGTGTGTGTGTGGCCTTGTTGCCCCATGCAAAACCCTGAATATGTGCAGGGGAAGTAGTGTAAAAGTATGGTGACTTGAATATCTTGTGTTACATCTACCAGTCATAAATAAATCATACGAGAGAGTGTGTGTGTGTGTGTGTGTGTGAGCACTGAAATGGGAAGTTCTCATGGGGAGAGTGTCATGGCCGAGTTAATGGCACTCATTCATGTATGGGAATTGCAGGTTCAAATTTCAGCCTAGAGAGAAGCAACCCTAAATGAGCATTTTGGGATTTTACTCAGTTGCTGCAAATAGTACTTCAAACTACGTCATAGTCATTTCCTTCTGCACCTTATCAAATTTATTACTTGTTAATATTCATAAAGTTTGGTGCTGTATAGTACGAGTTGCTGACATCAGGATTAACTGGATGGGATATATACATTGTGTTTCCTGCAGTTCTGACAATGGCTGTACACTCGTTGCAGACTGATGAGGGCGAGGATGATCTGAAGAAAGGTACGCAGCTGCTGGAGATCTACGCTCTGGAGATTCAGATGTACACTGCGCAGAAGAACAACAAGAAGCTCAAGACCCTGTACGAGCAGTCGTTGCACATCAAGTCTGCAATCCCGCATCCTCTCATCATGGGTGTCATTCGAGGTGAGAGGCCCGACTCGCGTTCTCAGGAGTGATCACATGTCTGAGTCACGAGTGTCAGGAAAGCTGTATGGTTACTGCAGTGTGATAAAGTAATGGAGGGGAAGCATGTTGTCAAGGCACAAAATAAACATGCTTTATTCTAATTCTATAGGAAGGGAAGTCACGTTACAGTGACGTCTCAGTCTGCCTAAAAATGAAGATGACAGTGGAAACTGCTGAAGTGTAGAAGGGAGGATAACGTCTGATTGTCACTGTAATGCCCTTTGCAGAGTGCGGTGGGAAGATGCATCTCCGGGAGGGAGAGTTTGAGAAGGCACACACTGACTTCTTTGAGGCTTTCAAGAACTACGATGAGTCAGGCAGTCCACGCCGTACAACATGCTTGAAGTACCTCGTGTTGGCAAACATGTGAGTGTTGATGCTGTAGCAGTGAAGTCGTCTCACATGAGTTTAACACCCTTCACTGTAAGAAGTGGTGCAAACCTGAGTTGCGTATAGTAGAGATTGAATGGGGTGTGCATTAAAGAATCCTTGCTCTGCTACTGTCTGTGATGTCGTGTATCCCTTTTTTGAAGAGTCAGCCCTCAGTCAGCCCCTTGTGACAGTGACTTGACTACATGTAGTGGGTTCCGAGGTGACAATCATCATGTAGCTAAAGCCTCACACATAAAACACTGGACATGCCAGGCTGTTTCTTCCATGTCATGGCACCTTTCAAAGTCCCAGTTTGAATATGTGTTTCTGAAAGTGACAGTGTCTTACTGGCTTACTGCCGTCTCTGTCACCTGGTTCCTGTTTTAAATTGCAATTAAGCACAGCTGCGGGAATGTTAACAGAGGCCAGCTGTTAGTGCATTTGTAGTCATGATTTAAATATGTTAAAAGCTAATGAAGGAATTATTTTAGATTGTTCATTTCCCATTGCAGAGTTGAAAATCGTGAGGTAATTATAGTCACTAAGTTTGCTGTGTTGTGTTTGAGCTGATCACTGGTTTTGTCACTTCAAGTAGTGACTATTTCTGCCAATATAAGGACACTGAAACCCATTTAATACTCCATGGTTTGAGGTTTTCCCTCGTTTAAGGTTTTGGTCAGTGTTCAAATTCACTGCTCCCCATAGAAACCATACATGATGGTTTCACTTGACCATATTACAGTGGAGAAACCAAATTAAACATTCTTTTACTTTCCTTCCCTGATCATAACACTGAGGTATGAATTTTTAAAATATGTTATAAAATACTTGTATGAAGCAGTAAACTGACTCGATGAGTGACGAAGGTTTCATTGGTGATGCTTTGCAATAATAGCAGTGAACGTTTGGTTTCCATAAGAGGGGAGAATCTGTTGACCATTTGCAACCGCTTGAGCATCACCTGGCACTGTGCGGCTTTCTTTCTTTCTTGGTTTCAGGCTCATGAAATCTGGCATCAACCCGTTTGACTCACAGGAAGCAAAACCCTATAAGAACGACTCAGAGATCCTGGCTATGACAAACCTTGTCTCATCCTATCAGAACAATGACATCAATGAGTTTGAGACAATTCTGAAGCAGAACCGTCGGAATATAATGGATGACCCTTTCATACGGGAACATATTGAAGGTGGGTATGTACATGTTATGCTGATAATATTAACTCTTTGTCATCTGACACTGTCAAGTCTGTCCAGATGGCTTTACCATATGCCCAATAAGTTCATGCTTTGATTGTGCTTGTATTGTCATCAACAGATGGCAGTCTTGTGCTCTTCTACAGTCTTTCCTTGACCAAAGAATGCATTTTATTTCTTGATACACACTAAAGAGGACACTGCAGTAGCCAGGCTGTAAGGTTAGGCAGGGTACTAAAGGAAAAAGGGATACAATTGCTTGCTTTGTTGATCCTCTTGTGCCCAATGGCTTACATGTGTTCCTTATGCCTTTCTACTTCTCTTCCTTTAAATGTGTTCTGCATATGCTGTCCTCAGATTATCATCTCTCTCTGAAGTCTTGATCTGTGTTTTGGTTGCTGCTCAACATATCTCATTTCTGTACTGCAGTGTGGATTATTGTACAGTGCTGTCCGTAACTAGAGACTGTAGCATCAAATGGTAGGACGACAGGTGAATGAATTGGAAAGAATTTGGAAGGAAACACTCATGACTTAATCAGAATACTATTCTCACATTTGCCAGTAGGGACTGGGGAAAACTAAGAGAATGTCAGCATTCCTGGCTGAGGTTTGGACAAAGCACCTTCTGAGTGTGAGTGTAGTGCATTACTGCTTTGCCAACCCCTTCGGTTGTAGTACATTGAAATCCTGCATTCACTCAACATTTGTTTTTCATTTTCCTTCTGCACTTCCTGGATCATGGAGCAACAGCAAGTGCATGCCCCAGCTGTCATTCTGCTGAAGTTGATCCTGAAGATTGTTGAATGATGCAGTGGTGATTATTAACCTTGTATCTGGTAGGTATGGTTGAATATTCCCAGTAGAATAAATACAGATGGAGCTTGAAACTGTTAACTGAACACCTTGATGTGATACTTGGCATTAGTGCTTCTTATTTTGGAGCTGTTCTGTCCAGATGTGAACCAGAGACCCCACATTCTGTCCAAGGATTTCCTCAGTCCATTCAGTTGCATACCTCGAGTAATAACTGCCGCTTGAGAGTAGGCCACAAACAATTCCATCATTGTTCTTACCAGTTACCATTCATAATGGTCTTCTCATTTATTGTAAATGCTATAAATATCCATGCAGCTGATACAGGGCTGCTGACAATTCTGACTTGAGGTGTGCCCAATTTGTATCTTGGCTGGCACATTGGTTGTCCTGAATGTTTCTCAGGTTTGTGAGGCATTTGCAGGATATCTCCCGCTTCTGCGTTCTTTCCTGTTCACTACCATCCACTCATATGATGCTGTATACTCTTCGGTACTGACAGCACTGATGAGCTGTGAGCAGGTGGATAAATATAAAGATAATCTGTGTTGTGGCAGACCTGCTTCGTAACATCCGCACACAAGTGCTCATCAAGTTGATCACCCCGTACACCAGAATACATATCCCATTCATCTCAAAGGAGCTGAACATAGATGCCTGTGAAGTGGAGAGCCTTCTTGTCTCCTGCATTCTGGACAGGTGAGTGCAGTCGAGTGTCTGTTCAGGCTACATCCAAAGCTCTCCAGTAGTATCTTTGCTAGAGATTTCAGTGCTTTCTGTCCAAACTGTATATGTATTCTTATCATTTACAGTACGATACGTGGCCGTATCGACCAGGTGAACCAGGTACTAGAGCTTGACAAACAGTCTGTGTGTGCAGCACGCTACAATGCCCTGGACAAGTGGACAAGTCAGCTGGCAACACTTCACCTTGCAGTTGTCAACAAAATGGCTTAAATTTCATGATCTTTCCAGCAAAGTTATGTATTCTGTGGTTTGTTAAGATATTTATGATGTACAAAATAAAATTTCTCTAAGCAAAGTTTAAGAAGATGTTTCAGTCCTAATTCTTTGTAGGAAGAATCGTGCATGGCCTGTCATGAACCAGATTTGTTTAATTTTTTCAGGCCCACCCAGTATTTACAGATTACTAATGTCCAGCTCTTCACAATTCATCCCACATAGGTCAGCATTTTATCAAAACACTTATGACAGTATTACCCACTATATGAAGTTTATAAATAATTTTAAAATTTGAATACAAATTTTCTGCTTACATTAAGGAATTGAAATATAGTATTATTCTGCTTGGCAGTCAAAAGTTATCCCACAGAAGCAGATATACTGGATGTATCAGAAATATGCCGTAATACTACATTCGTTATGTTGCAGTATTACTGTGTACTACACCATCGTCACACAGCATCTAAAGTTCTGCATAATCCTGTGTTTTGTTACCCTCAGGCCATCTATACAGTGGAGCCCCGTTTAGTGTTTCCTGTCATATAAACGTTCAGCTTTGACCATCTGAAGTCAGTAATCTCTGTGTTAAATTTCCTCCCTTTAAGGTTCCCACAGTGAGGAATATGAAGAGATACCGCCACCATCTTCAGGGTTGAAGAGTATGCCAGGCAAGAAGCAGGTAGCAGGCAGACCTCTGTTCAAACCCAGTGACACCCAAAGGAACCTTAAAAGGGGGGTGTTTCACTGTTATGTTCAGTAAGCTTCCAGTGTAGAACTTAAAATCACCCTTCTGGAAATTTGGAGTAAATATTAGAATTACAAACATACATAATTCATAAATTCACTGATCCGTTGTCTGAATTGGACCGGATATTGAACTCATCAAAATAAGACTTGATTGCAGAAGTACAATTGTGTCAACAGCAAACAACCACACACAACCAAAAGCACCAAATAACCATTATTTACATTGTCATTCATAAACAAAATTACAAGGAATATAGTTATTAAATGTTATACATGCTTAGCAGAAATATATTCATCTATTGACTAAAAAGCATTTGTTGTGAGGAAGCTTTTCAGTGTGTGTTTGAAAATCTTCACAATATCACTCATCCTTTGTATATTTTCAGGAAGATTATTATAAACCATAACACGCCTCTCTGGATTGAAGATAATTCTTCGTAACAAGCTTATTTTTTATGGTGAGGAGTTGTTAGCCCCATGCCAAACCCCCAAGATGGAAGGCCACCCCTTGTCAGCTGTCTGTGACTGCTTATTCAATATATTTGCAACTTCCCTCCATACTTGGAGGGCGTCTCCTCCATCCGCAACCTGAGGATGTGCCATGCTGTGGTAACAAGGGGGCCCACCTAAGCATTACCCGAGTTCAGTCTCTTCTTAATTTCCTCCAAAACCTGATTCAGGAGGAAATTAAGAGGTGATTGAACGTGGGCAGTGCTTGCTACCATTCAGTCCAGAACCTTTTGTCTTCTTGTCTGCTGTCTAAAAACATAAAAATTAGAATGTACAAAACTATAATTTTGCCTGTGGTTCTGTATGGGTGTGAAACTTGGTCTGTGACATTAAGGGAGGAACATAGATTGAGGGTGTTGAGAATATTTGGACCAAAGAAAGATGAATTGATAGGAGGTTGGAGAAAATTGCATAATGAGGAGCTTCATAACTTGTATTCTTCTCCAAGTACAATTAGAACGATCAAGTCAAGGAGGATGAGATGGGCAGGGCATGTAGCACGAATGGGGGGAGAAGAGGAATGCATATAGGATATTGGAGGGAAAGCCAGATGGAAAGAGAACACTGGGAAGACCAAGGCATAGGTGGGTGGACTTTTAAAATGGATCTTAGAGATATGGGATGGTATGGATTGGATTGCTCTGGCTCAGGATAGGGACCAGTGGAAGGCTCTTGTGAACACGGTAATGAACCTTTCGGTTCCATAAAATGCTGGGAAGTTCTTGAGTGGCTGCACAATTGGTGGCTTCTGAAGAAGGGCTCAGCTCCATGAGTGAATTAAAATTCTTCCAAACACAAAGTGCAAAAAAAATCTAGTAATTTGTTAAGAAATTCAGGTTGTGTGTGCGCTTCTATTACAACTGTAGACAAAAATTCTTTTAGGAACGCATCTGCACTTATAACATGGGAGTCTATGGGAAATCAGGGTTCACAAAATGGAACTCATGATACACATTTTCAAAAACTTCCCTTCTATATCACAGAGTTCTGCTGTATGCAGCTACCGTTTTGACACTAGCCTTGATTGGCCGTTCACATAACTTCAAGAAGCAGCAAATTCTAGCCACCGCAGCTGATCAGCTGTCATGATATTCAATAGTAGTTACCATGGTGACAGTTTTGGTCTTTGAGATGTGACTCCATGCAGTCTGGTGGATCATTACCAAACCTGCTGCCTCCATCTTCAGGGTATCCAGACATATTCTGATGAAATGTTAGTACCTATCTACCAGACTGTGCGGTGTCACATCCCAGAAGACAGTAATCATAGTTACTGGGATGAGAATCCCAGACCCAATAGAGTGCTGTGTTGTTATAGCATCTTCAGTTTCTAGAAATCCTTAACAAAATCTGCATGTTTTTCAGAGCTCCAACATATAAACTTCAGGATTGTACAGTAAGCTCCTCTAGGGTTCTCCTGGCTCTAGAAGTGTGCATGGCCGTCTATTGATACTGAAGATAAGGATAAAAGGTATGGTGCAGATTTGGGTTTCATGGTAACTGGCGGCTAAATGTTTGCAGCACTGCTCAGAAATTGCGTCGCTGTGTCCTCTGGGTAAGTAAAGTAAACGTATCCCTGTAATAGGCTGTGGAGGTCCATAGGATTGTGAGATGTTGAGGCTCCCACATTTTCTAGACGGTCGGCTCACAGGTGGTGGTGAGGTCAGCCTTACGCACTGGCCACCTTTTACCCCCAGGAAGATTTGTGGTACTCATTTCTGTTAGAGGCTTGAGTTGACCCCAGGACCACAGTGTGGCTGGAAGGATTAGATAAATCGATAAAAAGTCTGATGATCCCCCCCATCCCAACTCTGTATTTTCTTAAATATGGAAATAAGGAGCAAGCAGTATACATTCCATCACTGCATAGTAACATGTACCTCATATTCTGAAGGTGGCTTGTGAATGCCTGTGGCTACCATCTTCACTCTCTCTCTGATGTAAAGTGTTTGCCAGGGGCATCTTAACTTTTCTGGACCATGGATGATTACTGCATGGTTTTCCTTGGTGGACCAACTTCCCATTAAAATAGTTTTAAGAGTTTCGAATGGAATGACAGTGAAATTTAAATGATATGTTTTGCCACACAAATTACATGTATGATTGTGCATTCATCATGAGCTTGGCCTTAAAGACAGGCTACTGGTGGTTCTCTGACCATAAATTTGGGAAACTCTTGTACAGGGTATCCTCACTGCTAGATGCAGCAGTACCAAAATTCTGCTACAGATGGCATAGAGGCAAGTACAGGGACATGACAGAGATTATGTACCTTATAGATGGTAGTATATAGACAGCAAGAGAAAAAGATGCTGATGAGACTCTGGATCTAAGAGGAAAAACATAACAGCGTGATGGAGGGGAATACATAACGCTTCATCTAATACTGTTCTGGTGCCTAACTGCATGGGAGAATATTACAGTCGCTCAGCTGGTAAGAAATTCCAAATTCTCCCATTTTTTTAAGGAACTTGAAGGTTCATTATCATGTTCGCACAAGCCCAACACTGAACCCTACTCTGAGCCAGATGAATCCAGATGGCACCCTCATGCCTTTTTTTTTTTAATATAACTCCCATTTATGCATATGAAATATGCAACGGTTAGATATCCCTCATATCAAAGCACTGCACCACAAAGTTAGGCAGGTTTATAAATCTGATACTATATACAGTTCAGTTATCACCTTCATGTTCTAGCCACTTTACTCCCAAGGAAAGCTTCTGCAGTATGCTGCAGATAACTTGACAGGAAAGTTACATTTTAAATATATATTACATTTCTGTCAACATATATCAGAAGCACAAGGTGTGCATACTTGCTGGGTTGCATACGATACACATGTGCAGTGCACCGGTTCTAGATATTCTGAAATATATTCACGCAACACACACAAGGTGTATCTACATTAATACTCAGTTGTACAATAATACAATACTGTGGTTTGCACTCATTTAAACCTATAAAATAATTACAACATTTTGGTGTCTACAGTTATGCCAACAGCGAGACTTACGTCTCTTTCTCTGACATGTCACTTACAAATGTGATGTATATTTTTTGCATTGCCTCACAACTTTCACCACACCAAGAAAACTAATGTTACACGCTGTGACACCAGAGGAAAGTTGCGTTAACCTTGATTAAATGGCATCAAGGTTTGCACACCCTATGGGCATAGTTTCAGAGACAGTAACCTTCACTAGCTTTTTTTGAACAAATCCTTTTTAACAAAGTGTCACAGCTTTCCCACTGGACCAAACTTGCCAAAAGGTTATTTTGCTATACCTCCTCTCAACCAAGTCTTCACACTGTGGTGCTTAATTGAGCACAGGGACAACTTTACAACGTTTCTAGTGACAGTCCACTTGTTACAAGTGTCTTTGTGTTTGTGTACATTTTAAAAATTATCAAATTAAACTGGAAGTTGTTTAAAATCACTTGAGTCGATTCATTTGTGCTGCTGGTTCCTCCCCCACAGGACCTTCCGGACCATTATCGCCAGCCCCCTCTTCTGGATTGGCATCTGCAAAACACAACGATGTTTTAATGCTTCAGGACTATGCTCCTCTGCATGGCTTGCGGGTTTCTCATGGAGGTGATGATGAAGTGTACTGCCCTCTGGGATGTGATACTGTACAGCCTGACAGAAAGTTACCAACATTTTGGGGAACTGCTGAACTGTATTCACTCTTGGTCTGATCACCATAATACAGTAGCAGGCCTACTGTGTGCACACAGAAACTATAAAGCAGAGGCATCAGTACTGACCGTCACCCCTCTCTCCTGCATTGTTCTCTTCGTTCTCTGCTCTTTCCATTTCCTGTGCTCCATCTCGCTCGTGGTCTCCGCCCACTGCCATTCCGTTGTCACTCAGCTTCAGAGGGGGAGCTGTAACAGTACAAAACACAGTTAACATGTGTTCATTTACTCTGTCACACGATCCTGAGCCAGTTCTGTCCACCTCCCCTAGGTTCCAGCTTACTTCCAGGGTCCCTGGGTCCTCCCATTAACATTCTGAATTCATCCCTTCTTTCTAGTACTGTCCTGAATGTCTTGCCCATTTGATCCCTCTTGATATAGTCACCCTAACATCATTAGGCAAAGACTAGAAAACTGTGAAGCTTGTTTCATCCTTGGCTCCTTGTTCTCAATCACTCTCAGTCTGTGTTGCTCTCTGAGAATGAGAGCTAGTCACACATCTGACAGCATAAAAGCAGCTTACAGAGGCATGTATGGCAGTCTGAAAGCTTGTAAAGCAGTATGGCAGGACTGCTGCTTCATATTCAATAGGTCCCAGGTTCAAAACTTGGCCCAGCAACTGGCTATCCTGACAGTTTGTTTTAGGTTTTCTCCAGTCCCTGCAGGAAAATGGTGGGATAATACCTGAAATTAGTCTACAGCCTCTTCTGTTCTCACCCTTTCCGTTCCATCGCTCACCATCTGATGCTTCATGATTTGAGCAACTGGCAGCATGGTTAGACACACAAGTCTTGTTGTACAATAAACCAATGATGTGTGATATATTTGTAATGCTGTTCACTGACAGAGCGTTGCACATGCTCATTGCAGGTAGTGCCAGTTCTGCCAGCAATGGTGGTGTTGTTTTCATGATAAACATAAGCATTTTCTGGAAGCTGTTTTGTCTTTTTTCTCAGTGTTGGATATTATGGTTGGATTAAGAGTGGGTGATGAGGGGCATCTAGTAGGTATGTGTGTGTTCTTGCGCACCACTGTCAGCACCGGTTTCTGGGCATCAGCCATATCACTACATCTGATGTTTCTGTGAATACTCTATTTGCCATTTACAGTGCAGGAAGATAACTGAATTTTTTTATTATTATTATTTATTGCAATTTACAATCTACTCTACAAGGGAGCAATAAGTAAATAAAGAAAGCAGTCTTCTGGGATTTGGCACCGTGTATATGTGCTGTTAACACGGTGCCAAATCCCAGAAGACTGCTTTCTTCATAGTCACCGCCGTGAAAGCCTCAAATCTTACAATAAGTAAATATGTTGTAAGAAATCACTTGTGCGGAGTGATCATCCAGTGATGATTCTCCTATATAGTGTACTATCCATTATGTTGTTGAGTACGGCTACCCATCTTCAACACTGTGTTCTTTTAAGTCTGAGGGCAATTGTCGTTTTAGTCTTCGTCTGATATTTAATGGGTTGGTTAGTTCAGTTACGCAACTGTTTTCGTGTCCAATTAGTCGGTTGTGGTATACGATAGAATATCTTTTGATTTCTTCTGTGACGAATGGGATTTGAAGATCATTGTGTAATGTGAAGTTCGAGACATACCATGGGGCGTTGGTTATGGAGCGCAGTACATTTGATTGGAGTCTTTGAATTATTTTGGTGTTCGAAGGCTTAGCACACCCCCACAGTTGAACTCCGTACGTCCAAATCGGTTTCAATATGCATTTGTAAATTAAAGTCTTGTTTTCTAGGCTGAGTTTGGATTTTCATCCTAAGAGCCATGACATTTGTCATACTTCTAGGTTTAGATGTTGGCGTTTTGTCTTGATGTGCTTCTGGCAAGTTAGCTTCTGGTCTAGGTATAGGCCGAGGTATTTTACTTCTGTCTGCATTGGGATTTGTAAATTATTGATTGTAACTGGTGGACAGTGTGTGCGCTTTGTTGTGAATGTTATCTGCGAAGATTTTGTTTGGTTTATCCTGATTTTCCATTTTTTGAACCATTCTTGTAGCAGGTCCAGATGGTGTTGAAGAAATTGCGATGCCAGTGCCGGGTCACAGTCTGTTGCTAGGAGAGCAGTATCGTCTGCAAAGGTTGCTATTGTGGTGTTGTTGGTTGTTGGCAAATCTGCAGTGTATATTAGATATAACAAAGGCCCAAGCACACTCCCTTGTGGTACTCCGGATTTTGCTAGTTTGTAGCTAGAATAGGCATTGTTGTATTTTACTTGGAAATATCTTTCTGAGATGTATGATTTTAACAGTAGATAGTATGGACTTGGCAATTTGTTCTTAATTTTGTGTCATAATCCAGTATGCCAGACTTTATCAAAAGCCTGGGCAATATCTAAAAACGCTGCAGTGCAATATTGTTTCTCTTCTATACTTGTGGCAATTTTGTTGATTATTCTGTGAGTTTGGTGGATTGTAGAATGATGTTCTCTGAATCCAAACTGATAGTCGGGTATAATATTGTGGAGTTCTGTGTTGTGTCTAATTCTGTTCAGTAAAAGTTTTTCAAATATCTTTGAGGGAATAGGTAGCAGGCTAATGGGACGATAAGAGGTCACTTTGTTAATTGGGTTTCCAGGCTTTGGTATCATAACAATTTGAGCAAATTTCCATATCGTTGGAAAGTAAGATAGCCTGAGCATGCTATTGAAGATTATTGTGAGTAGTGCAGTTGCTTTATTTGGCAATTGTCTCAATATCTTTCCCGTGATTATGTCGTAACCAGGTGCTTTGCATTGGTTCACTTTTTTAATGTTGTTTTACTTCTTTAGGTGAGAAGGCTTTGATTGGTAAAGACATCTGACATGGCGTATCTAGAAACTTCTCAATTTCGTTGTCATTATGATGATCATTAGAGTCGTGTGGTGTAAATACCAGAGAAAGATATTCAGCAAAATTTTCGGCTTTTTCTAAATCACTTTTGGCCCAGCTTCCGTCAGCTTTTCTTATCGGAGGTACCGATTTTTGGGGCCATTTGAATGTTCTTGTAGTTTTCCAGATTGTATGATCGTCCTTATTGAGTGAAGTGATATATTGCTCAAAAGTCGTGTTTCTTGCATTTACTAGCATATTGTGCAGTCGTCTTTTAAGTCTGTTGTAGTTGATTCTGTCATCATTATTTTGTGACCTTTGCCACCTATTCCTTGCTCTGCGTTTTTCAGCTACTAGTTCGCGTATGTGCAGGGGGATGTTATATGTATGTTTTGTTGTATCCAGTGGCATGGGAGTAGAGTACCGTGCTGCTTCCTGGAATAAAGTTGTAAAGTATTGGGCTGCTTGATCTAACTCGTCGGTTTCTTTTATTTTTATGTTCATAATTATGTGGTCTTCATTGTATGCGCGAAAGTTGTTCCAGTTCGTTGCGTTTGTAATCAGCATATTTATCGGTGATTGGTTTATCACATGGGTGGACAAAGTTGCAATTACAGGTGTGTGATCGATAACTGAAATGTCTGCAAAAACAGTCAATACAATTAAACGAGCAAAAATCAATATTTTGAATGTACGGTGTTCATGACATGGATGAACAAGAGAATTTAATCAGCAGGTGTGGAAGAGAAACAGAAGGACATGCTCTACTGGAGAAGTACAGGAGTGTTCTGTGCACATTTGTTGTGATTCAACTGTGTATTACACTGGCCTTGTTAGGTAAGTCTATTGTTACTGTTTTGTACCAACCTGACAAAACATGACTCTTATAATTACTTAAATTATATCATATAATTCTGTGGATAGTGTTTAATAGTTACAGACAGAAACTGCAGTGTCTGTTACAGTTCACTGCCACATAGAGGTATCAATTCTCATACAGACAGGGCGAACATGCAAGTCATAATGTCTTCTGACATGTGACAGAATACTGTATGCTACACAGGCACCTACTGCCTCCATTTTCAGGGTATGCATCTATCAAACTACATGATGTTACACTGCATTAGACCATAATATTCATACTCAGTGTTGTGAGAACCTCAAATCTTACCTTGTTCTATGAATAATTTGACATGTACAGCACTGCATGTTCTGTATATTTTGAGGTTCTCAGGGAACTCACAGGTGTTACATTTGTCTGTACATGAGCAAAGATTGGGAACTACTGCAGTAGAGCATTATTCTAGTTCAGGAGTGATGTGAGAGAGAGGAGAACGCTCGACACTATTTCACCGAGTGTCCACAGTGTCTTAACTGTGTCCGTCCATATTTTCAGTGTGATTACAACCTTATAAGCGCTCTCTTCTTTTTCACAGGAGAAAACAGCAGTGCCACACCAAAACAGACCCACCAAGCAGAAGAGTGAACAATATGATGACTACAGTGCTGGGACAGAGAGAGAGAGAGACAGCAGGGATACCAACCATCCTGACATCACCAGGATGTCATCTATCTCTGTTCAACAGGGCACTGAGATACATCCTCATGTCTATCAGGCAGGGATTGGCAGCCCAGCACAGAGCAAGATACTACCTGTGGGATAGTGTCAGAGGTGGGACACGCTGAATCTTGGTGGGAGGCGGACTGCGTCAGGAGGATCCTGGGGAAGGACTGCCAACCCCTTATGACGCACGATTCCACTGAGACCTGGCACAGTCATGCGCAATTTCATCACCTCACGCAACTCCCCTGCCCTCAGACGGGCTATAACAAATGAATGGTGACTCATGAACCCCACAGCACAAGGTGAATGCCCTTCACTTAGCACAAAGCACTTACACTTTACAGATCCATAACTATTATGCAGTTTCTGGTAACTGTCGGAAGCCACAAATTAATTTAATTTCTACTTCTAGAAGCAGAATCCGAAGGTTTAGCACTGCTAATACCAAAGCCTGCCATTGGGATATGAAGCTCAGCCAGCTGCATCCACTTCCCATCCTCACGGTTTCAGTAGTATCAATTTTGATATTACCCTCCCACCTTCTCAGTCTTCAAAGTGGTAACTTTTGAAAAGGTTTTCTTCCAACCAAGCTACATGTTCGACTCATCAGAACCTCCTCTGTCTGGCTGCTAGATGAACACTGTAAATCGTGAAGGTTCTTATTACATAAGTCGTAATTCCTTGGTTACTTAATCCCATTTATGTGAAAATACTGTTGCCTTCTCCTTTTTACAATTCCTACCACAATCAAGTGATCGAACAGTACCACACATAAGCAAATTGATGGGCATTCTGTCTGGTATTGTGCCAGTGCTAGCTGTACCGACATCTGCTAGCATAGTGTCACTGTTACCTGGAGATGCCTTTTCTTGGGCTCCTGGCACGTCCGGAAGCTTTTTCTTGAAGGCCTCCTCAAGAGCAGCTTGAGCCTGCAAAAGCAACACACATAAGGATGTGACTGGTATGTGGCACATATGTGAAATGCATACAAAATTGTAGTTAAAAAAATAACCTGAGGGAAAGACACTAGGCAGAGATGGGAAAACACATTAAAATGGATGTTAAAGAAACAGATTGTGGACTGGATTCATGTGACTCAGGACAGGAACCAGATTTATGTGACTATGAATGACTGGCTTAACCCTTGTGTGCCATGTATCAACTTCAGGGTACTTGTGTGAGACAGACATGATAATGTTAAGGGGAAAGAGTGGGCTTTCACGTGATGCATACTGTAACCATGACTCAAACCTAGTGACGCCATGAGCCTTGGCATCTCACCTGCTTCAATTCATCCTCCAGACTCTGAATCTTTTCCTTCTGCTTGTTCAGCTGGCCTAAGAGCTGTTTCTTCTCGAGCTGCAACGATTCGATAGTTCCATCTTTAGTTATCTCAAGCTTCTTAATGGATTCCTGCAACAGTCACATACATTTCGTGGGGTCAGGCACAAGTGAACTGCCCTCAGTTTGAGGGCGCTTCCATATTGCAACAGCCACGAGGGCAAGCAGCAGTTGGTATCCTGAGGAATGGCGTCTTATCGGCCATTTGCATTTTGTGAGATCTTTCATGGCACTGGTTACTGTCGTTTGGAATGTGACATCATATACTCAACTTGCTTGCTCAGTTTAATCTTTCACCCTGAAGACAGAAGCAGTATGTTCCTCTGGAATGTCAGTAAACTTTTACTAGACTATGGGGTGTTACATCCCAAAAGTGTAGTTTATTTAGTTATTTTATAATTTTGTATAAAATCCTAATGTTATTTAACATAAAATGAAACATGTTATGATGACGACGGCTTAGAAAGAATGTTGGCCTTCCTTAAGGACTAGTATGGAGGGAGTCACACTTAAACCAGAACCTGAATCACGTACATCTTGACTGCCCAACCAGCGCCATGGAGTGCAGTCCTCCTTGAGAAGTTGACAGCTGCTCACTCATGGAAAACCCTGCCTTCCATGGAACCTAGACATTCATTACCATGTTCAGAGGAGCATCCTATCCTGAGCCACATGAATCACGATCACCCTCACCCCATTTCCTTAAGATCCATCTTAATGTTATCCTCCCAGCTACACCTGAGTGTTCACATTTTCCACTGCATATATGTTAACAAAAATACTGTATTGTGTGCTGTTCCACATTTCAAGGACTGTGGATATGCCCAAATTAATGATATTTAATGTTTGCCTATTAATCTGCAATAAAATTAAAACAAACATTCAGTATACTCCTAAATTTAGAGCAGATATACATGTTTTTGTATGCTGCTGCAAACGGCCAACCGGGCAGTAGTGACTCATAAGATAAGCTTGTCCTTCAACGTGTATGTCCTAATCAGGTGTCGTGAAGCAATCAGAAACCTTATAACAAATGTCCTCACAAGTCAGACCTTGTGGCCTTCATATATAAAAGGGGACAAACCATTAAAATGAACCTCAGGAGAACAGGATGTGAGAACTGAGGCTTTCATGGTGGTGAAGATTCGTTCATTTTGTTTTGACACTGTATACTCTGGTAGGCAAGTACCAACATTCTGGAGAAAACATACCACATACATTTTCAACCCTGGACATGGAGACAATATGTATCTCTGGGTATTTGAAATCCACCTATCAGAATATAAAGTGTCACTCTTTGTTACAGTGAATATTTAACCCTTTGCAGCCCCCATGTCGATTACATCAGCTTGGGATACTTACATCTGAAGAGAGTTGCATGATGCTAATCATTTTGTGCGGTATTTATGTCACTGGATGGCACAAATGTGATGTACTGATGTACGAGCTTTCACATAAAATATATTCCTGTCATTTGAGGACTATGCTGTGGGTTTTCTGTGCTGCCATGTCACTCTCATGCACCCCTGACATTTCTGGCAGGGCTGGGCAATGAAAGGGTCAATGAAGTACGGGCAAAGAATAATTTCTGAGGTTTAATAAGATTATGGCCTCCTGGATTGTAATGCCATGCATTCAGTAGACAGGCATCAACATTTCAGAGGAACACACTGCCTGGGGCTACAGGAGGAAAACTGGTGGTGGTATTTCCTTCAGAATATTGGTAACCATGTACCAAGCTACACAGTGTCACACATCAGGATATTATAATTTAAAATATTTGGACTTTGAGCTTGATTAACTTGCAACTAAATAGATTTGTATCTATGATGACTCAACATCAAGCATCATCAGTAGCGTATCGAATCACAAACCCCACCCTCGTGTACTTATGAAGATTGGGTGCTACTCATTTTCTAACCTATACAAATATCAACTCTGACATACCAGTTCTGTTTTGCATATATTTGTAGACTTCTGGCTATTCTCCTGTTCCTTCTTCGCTTTTCTTAACTCCTCGTCCTTGGTTTCCAGCGTCTTTTTCATTTCGTCGTTATCTGTGCGTTCCTGCAAGAGATTCACCCTAACCTGGGCGACCTCCGCATCCAGAATCTTCATCCGCCCCTCCGCCGACAGCCGATGATGGACACATAATTCCTGCTCTTCAGAGCTGCAAACCAATTAATTTAGTCTTTTCTGGCGCGACTCTAGTTTCATAAACACTACAACTGCAATAATTTGCGAAAACTCTCACCTTATTTTTAACTGTTCTCCCAACTCCTCTATCTGTTTGATCAGATCGTAATTCTGAGACGACAATGACCACCAATTGAATGTTAAAATAATACACACTACCAGTAAGCCTGCAACCAGAAACGGTGGACAACGTCCATAACTGCCCCGCATATTGTCTAGAGACATTTCTAATTTGCGGGACCTTCGCTCTGCCACTAGTACAGGTGACACGCAGCAAAACAAACACGAAGCGGCATAAGATGCGACGTACATCGACCAATCACAACACCAAAATAGTGTCGTGGAGTCGGTCGTGAATGCTGGACTTGAAATGGTGGTTACGTGAGAGATGTTTACATATTTTTAATGTAAGCAATAGTTACACATTGTGAGTAGTACACACTGGGAGTGAGAATTATGAGCTCTCATTCCTTGTACTTATGACTGTTTCTTAGTGTTTTCTTAATTTACTCTGTACCATGCACCCGCTTGCGCACAATGGCGCGTATATTCAAATAAAGATTCTGTCACTTATCTACAATTTTCGAGATACGAAAATAAGTCTTAAAATATTTACTGTCGAGTTATGAGCCTTTCACACTCTTAATACCCATTTCATTGCCATTTTACTGAGAAGGGAAATTAAAATTTATGTACAGATATGAAATGTACGTCATATTTAGAACTGCCAGTTTTTTATGCTTTTGCTACGGATGACTGGTTTGTGACTGGTATGATTTTAATGCAACAGAACTTTTACTACATTGCCAAACAGTTTTGTGCTCATAATGAGCTTGTTATCAGAACTGTTTGGAAAGGACTAAGACTTTCTTTTTAATGCTAGTGGGGTGGGACTAAGTCCCTTGTACTGCGGCCACTTCTGGCCTATTGTACAAGCCCCAGATGATAGGTGAGGGTGATTGTGGAGCAGTTGGTGGAATGAAGATTGGCAAGGGAAACCGAAGTACTCAGAGAAAACCTGCCCCAGCGCCACTTTGTCCACCACAAGTCCCACTTGACCAGAGCTGGGATCGAACCCGGGCCGCCATGGTGGGAAGCTAGCGACTAACCACTTGAGCTGTGGCGCAGCCTTGGACTAAGGCTTAGTAGCATCATTAACTACTTGGAGCAAAGTCCTGCTTGGGGTTATTGTAGAGCTGGATAAGAAATTCCTTGGTTTGAATGAAACCCAAAGGTTCATCACCATCCGTGATATGTATACAGTTGCCATCTTGTAGTGCACTACAAGATGGCAACTGTATACATATCATGGATGAAAATCAGTGCAACAGGACGCTAAAATACAACATTATGAATAGTTCATCACCATGTTCACAAGACCCCACCACTGGACCCCATACTGAATCAGACGAAGTCAGTTCACACCCAATTTGTTTATGATCTGTGTTAATATAGTACTCACATCTGTGCCTAGGTTTCCAAAGTAATCTCTTCCCATGAGGATTTATGTGTTTCACATCACCCCCTTGCATACTGCATGTTCTTCCCATCTAACGAGTAGTATAAGAATGAAGTTCATCATTATGCAGTTTTCTCCATTCTCAGCCACTTAAAGTTTTATACCCATAGAAAACTACATCCAAAAGTATAGTGTTTATATTTTAGTCTTTACATTTCTAGACAGATGGTAAGACAAAAGATTCTTAATTGAATATGAGGAGTCTGCCTTAATTTCTTTGTTAATGTAATTTGAGTTGCTACTCTTGTTCCTACATATTTGAACTTATCACTTATTAAGAGGATCTGTTAGCTATCTTTATGTTATGGTTTCACTGTGGTGATGAGAAATCAGTGTGTATTTAGTTTTCTCTGCTTGTAGGCCAACTACCTTAGTACCACATAGTGTCTGTCAGACATTTTTTCTCTTGTATTCAAACATACTGTAATTAAGAGAATGAGCTGAGTTTGGGGTTCTCATGATGGTGACTGGGAAGATGTAACACTATGTAGTTCAGAGAGAGCATGATATTTCAGAACGTATTGCATCCATCTTTAGAGTTGAAGAACAGGCCAAGCAAGAAACAAGCATAACCAGGCTCAGGAAGATGGGTGAACCATGTGTGGAGAATCCAGTCTCATATAGGCCACTGCAAGCTTGTAACAAACTGAGTGAGAGTGAGCTAGTTCTCTGAACTGCACGGCACTACACTCTTTGTAGTCACTGCTGCGGCAATCTCAGACCCAAGAAGTGTGTGTGTGTGTTTGGTTGTTTGATCTGTACCCATATCCCCACTGCTGCACTTCACAACCCAAAGTTTTGGAAACCCCAGAAAAATGTATTTTTGCTCATTGCTAGGGAACCATCCACTCACTCCAGCATATTGTGATTTCTTGCCCTGGGTACTGCTTCTAAAAACAAAAGACTCATTTCAGACTCTGTAAGTCTGTTATCATTTTTGAGATGGTATTTAATTTTCCAAAAATAAACAGTTGATTTCCTTAAAATTTATATTAATATGATGAGATCAACCCTGTAACTCTTCAGTACACTGCCAAATGTGTGCATTATGCTGGTTAGACATGTTAGTACTGTACACACACACAAAGAGAGAGAGAGAGAAAGGACAGGGTGATCTATAAGCCTACTTTCATTTTTTCAAGATAAGGGAAGTAGGCCAAAAATGAAATGTTCTTCTTATTTTAAGCTTTATTTCCATTTTGGTGTCAGAATGTGTGATGAATGCAAAACCTGAAGTAAATCCATGCTTTGATCAGCCTTTGACAAATTCAGCAAACCAATCCCTTTTTCGGAGTATCTTTACAAATTTATGAAGTTTATTTCTTCATGCTTTGTGTTGCACATGTGTTCTTTACATTTCCTATTTGCCTTCTCCTCTTCCCACCTCAACAGGCAGCCTGTTAAAAAAAAAGGACAAAGATATCCCTGTAACAGGTCATGGAGGTCCATACGGTTGTCAGACGTTGAGGCTCCCACCTCTTCTAGACAGCTGGCTCACAGATGGCAGTGAGGTTGTCAGCCTTACGCCTTTATCCCCAGGAAGATACCTGGTACTAATTTCTGTTAGAGGCTGAGTCAACCCCAGGGTCATAGTGCGGCTTGAAGGATTAGGTCTATTGAAAAATCTAATGACCTCATCAGGAATTGAACCTGCAACCTTCTGGCTTGTAGCACGGTGCCTCAACCAGCTATGTTACCGCGTGCCCCCTAGCAGGCAGCCAGTGCCAAAGCATGCCTTGTGTTTCCAGAGTGCACAATGCACACTAGCTGGAAACAGTGATAGGCAGCAAGAAGTGACAATGTTCTGTTATCTTCAAGACAAGAATATGGAAATTTTATGTGATTTTAGGCTTTTTTTGAGATTTTATTTTGTGTTAAGGTAGGCTACACATATATAGCCAAAATTCATGTGAATGAAATTGTGTTTTAAATTATATAACAACAGTTCTGTCTATACATCGTTCTGTAACATGCATTATATGTATGAACCTTCCAGCAGTTGTTATTCATATTTTGTTTTGCATATACGACTTAGAAATTTGTTGTAAATGTAGCGAAACAGTTCGCTTGAAGTTGTATTTAAACATCTTTTAATTATAAGTGAACAAACCAGCTTGAGCAGGTGCAACAGACTGTCGCACCTGCTCAAGCTGGTTCGCTCGCAGATTTCTTCTCGTCTTCTACCCTGAAGATGGAGGCGATACGTTCCTCCGAAACGCTGCATGACACAACTTCTACATGGCGCCACATCCGAGAAGACTGCTTTCTTCATAGTCACCCCCGTGAAAACCTCAAATCTTACACATTTTAATGACCTTGAGCTACGAGGCTGCAGCAGACAAGCTTGCTCTCTGACAGAGCTCGTGGCATTGTGTGTAGATTTGTTGCACTGGAAGCTTGAACCCAGGATGCAGCCTGCGATGCACTTTGTCATGAAGATGAGGTAGCAACAGTAACAGGCAGTGACAGTGCTGTGGAAGTTTGATTGCAGTCTGAAGCTTTCTCGACATTTTATTGACATTAATTTATATATACTCATTAAATTATGTAATAATAAATCTCTGTATACATCACTGTGCAGCATCACTTACGTGTACATGAACCTCCCAGTGACACGTTTTTCCCTCACAAACCCCAACTGTGAGCTGTTTCTTGTAGACTGATCACATTTCCATACATCAGCGGAAACATTACAAGTAACAGCTTTAGTTGGTCCATTGTCTGAGGATGGCATATGTAACTGATGTGATGCTAATGTCACATTCCCTCACACTCTGGCCAACTCAGTGGGCTCCTTCTAGAGTCTCTTCTCACTGTGACGTGTACAGAAATATTTAAGAAACTGTGATATTTAATGGGTTAGTGATTAACAGCCATCTTGTTATGTTGTTCCATCTTTCACTCATACTGTCTCAAGTGGTCTCTCACTAATTGCTAGAAATCACATATGGATTGCAAAGTTTTACTGAAAATTCCTGAGGCCTGTACATCCTCTAAATTTTACCTGAGGGTCACAGTGGACTAAATATCACATTCTAGTTGTTAGGACTCTTCCTTGTAGGTCCCAGGTTTGGATCTTGGCACACATACTCTTTATCCTGACTGAAACTTTTTGTGATACCACAGTCTCTCCAGGCAAACACTGTGCCTCAAAGTAAGCTGACGCAACTTTATTCCAACTTGTGTGTGTGTGTGTGTGTGTGTGGAGTATTTTATGAGGTTGTTGATGGATAGACTTATCAATGAAATTGTTGGGTAGTTGATAAATACTGAATTTGGAAGGATTCATAGTGAAGCAGTTGTGGCCTAATTGAGGCGCCAATCTGGCATTTGCTGGAAGAAATGATGAGAAGAAACATTAAAATCCTCAGCCAGGATAGCTGGTGTCCTGGTTGAGCCTCAAACTGAGCACCTCCTAAATAGAATTTGAGCAGTTCTGTGCCAGCCCGTTGTTTCGGCTCTGCTTGTTCTGAAATTCAAAATTCAGAATGATCCTTCCATCCATTGTAATGTAACTTACATAGTTGACAAAGTGCCATTAAATCAAGAAACAAAAAGGCAGTGGAGAGGTTCAAATGTGAAGGGTTGTGAGTTACACCTGTTTCTGTCTTCAGGTTACTGATTGAGGCCACAACAGGGTACATCCATTGTAACTTTCCTGTTAAATATCTGTGGTCTTGTAGTTGTAATGTGGTACTAGTGTTTTATTTTGTGTGATTACATCACAGTCAGTAGACAGACGGCCATCTCAGTGCAGTAGTGACAGTTTAGGCAGGTCTTAATATGCATATTTACTGAAATATCGATATATTTCAAGGTGTCTTCAAAAGTATGCTTCCAAACTGCCTCTTTTGCAAAGTTACCATGATGCTTGGGAGGTGTAACAAATGTTGAGCTGCATTTTCGTGTGTAAAAACAGTTTCCCAAAAATATGCTTGTCCCCCCATCACAGGTTGAGTGAACACAGATCAGTGATGCTTAGGTAATGTTTTTATGAATTTACTGTGAGCTTGCAAGCCAGTAGATTTGGTTAAGTTGTTTTAAGTTGCTTTTGTGGAGTCCTGTGTTAAGAAGCAATAGAATTTGTGTGTGACAAATAATGATTTTGCCTGAAGACAGGAACCTACACCCCAGAGCACTGTGTACCTCACAAACCTTCATACCCCTGGTAGTGTTAATAGTGTTTATGTTTCCTTATGCAGATGCCAGTCAGTCAACAGTCTTCTCATCCAGCCAGGGTCGAAATATTGGCAATGTTGATGGATAGTGCGTGCCTTGCTTGCGGCGTAGGGTGCCATCTGGTGAGCGCAGGGGGTATGTAGCAAGCATGATCGGCAGCTGTAGTTTGATCTCTTTTTCGAAGCTCTTTGGATCAATGATGAACTGTAACAGCAAAGTTGAGCCCATCTGAGCACTCGTTGTCATGGCTATGTAACAATAAGATAAAGTCTTCTGTGATGTAATGCTATGTACTGACATCAAAGTCCACTGATCTTTTGGAGGATCATGCATCACTTCCTTCATCAGGGTCAAAGCATAAACATCAGTGGACTTCTACATGGTGTCACAACCCAGAAGACTGTACTGCTCAAAGTCAATGCTGTGAGAACTTCAAATCCAACTTATTAACTGACTCCATGGAGCTGAGTCCTTGAGAATTTGCCATTTGCTCAGCAACTCAGAAATTTTCTAACATTTTATGGAACATGAAAGTTCATTATCATGTTCACAAGTCCCTATCCTAAGCCAGATGAATCCAGACTATGACACCTTATGCAAGTTCTCTAAGGTAGATCTTAATATTATCCCCCCAGCATACATCTAGGTGTTTCAAATTGTCTCTTTCCTTCTGGCCTTCCCACCAAAATGCTACATGCATTCCTCTTCGCCCCAGCGTGTGATACATGGCCTGCCCAGCCCATCCTTTTTGACTTGAACATTCTAACTGAATCCAACTTATTATACTCCTTTGTGATTTGAAGCTTTCATGGTGGGTGTTTGCAGTGAAGTGTTCATGGGCAATCAGCTGGCTCAGTGTGAGACTGTCCGTATGCTGATGTGATGGCAGCACTTTGCTCAGGCAGAGCACCAGGCAGACTTTGACTGCTTCCTGGTACTGTTTAGAATTGCAGGCTGCATTTTCCAATGAAGGGGGCTGTACAGGTGCCACTACGTTCTGATGATTTCACCAAGGATATTGTTTTTGTTCTAAGCATTTGATGCTACCTGGTGTCCAGCATGCTTTTGTGAGAGCAGGCACTCTAGAAGATATTCAGAATGTAGGAATGTCCAGATTAAGCAATGTGGACCATGATGGTTGGCTGTCTGGTTCTGCCCACTGTTCCCCCAGCAGACCAGACACTCTGGTCTCCAAGAGCTTACTCTCTGGGTATAAGTGGAACATGCAACTCTGTCACACATCACATTAACTGCTGAGAATTGAGACAGAGAGTTTCTGAAATGTTGGGTACCAAGTTCACATGCATGAGTGCCCAAGACACGCTGCTTTGATGGGGTTAGTTCAGCACAGTTCCTGTAACTTGGTGTTACTGGAATACTTAAAGTCCACCTCTCTTCTGCCTTGATACCTTAGACACAAAACTACGACCGTCTACCATACACCACAGTGTTGCTTATCTTTCTTTCATCCCTCTCAGGAGTCAAACCTGAACCTCTCTCACTGAACCTGAGCTATCACTGACATATTTTTTTGTGGTTTTCCTCAGTCTCTTCAGCCAGATCCCATGATAGTACTTTAAATTAGGCCATGACCACTTCCTTCCACATTTGTTTCAATGATTTATTCATTAACGTCCATACTCTACATTACTGTCACTATCACTGAATAAACTACTATGCATAAACTACCTTGGGATTGAACCCAGGGTTCTGTGGTGAGAAGCCAGCAAATAACCCCCTGTGCTTTATCGTTACCTCAACACATCATCTCTGGTTAACCCGTTGAAGCCCAGTGTTTACTACATGTACTAGCTGCTTTAACATACCAGATTTCTGCATTCTACCCATGTGTTCCGTATGATTCTCACAGCAAACAGCGACTGTTTCCCTAAACAGCATTAACCAGTTGGGCTCTGTAATGGTGATGTAATGTTTCCTGTGAGAACCATATGGAACACACTGAAGCCCTGCATTCTGCCCACAGTGTGTCTGTGTGTTCCATATGGTTCTCACAATAAACAGCGGCTGTTTCCCTAAACAGCATTAATCGGTTGGCCTTTGTATCGGAGACGTAATGTGTTTCCTGTGAGGTACGAACTGAACATACTAAAACTTTGCGTTCTGCCCACAGAGTGTATCTGTGTGTTCCCTATGGTTCTCACAATAAACAGCGGCTGTTTCCCTAAACAGCATTAACCGGTTGGCCTTTGTAGCAGAGACGTAATGTTTCCTGTGAGGTACGAACTGAACTTACTAAAACTCTGCGTTCTGCCCACAGAGTGTATCTGTGTGCTCCGTATGGTTCTCACAATAAACAGCGGCTATTTCCCTAAACATCATTAACTGGTTGGGCTTTGTAGCGGAGACATAATGTTTCCTGTGAGGTACGGACTGAATTCTCATATATTGTTTACAAGAAATTCATTCTGTAAAGGGTGAAGTTCTCTGCACTTACATAGACATCATACTGGATCTTGATAAGGTGGCAGCCCCGCAAGTTAGTTGGTGGGAGGGGTGGAACGTACAACTGCTCATTTTTCCATTCATCGCCATCTCCTGGTCGTATCTTGCCCCGACTCAGTGACGCTAGTTCCCTTGTCTCAGTCTGCAGAACTTTGTTACGGGCCAGGTACTGTATGGTCTGGAAGAAACAGACGAGTTTGTGTCATTCTTCTGAAATACTTAGGGTATAAGCGATATATAATAGATACTGTACCCTACACCTTTACTTCTCTGATGGAAATATGGTTCATAAGAAGATTGTAGTCCCTTGTGATGTCATACAATGTAAGACAGTGAAGATGGATGCAGTGTTTTCCTGCAAAATGTTTGTACCCACCTACCACCAGACTGCAGCACGGTGTCATAACCACATAGACCACAGTTTGAACCTTTGTTCTGTTAACTGTGTATATTATTTTGCTGTGCAGTGGTACCTCTGTGACAGAAGTGTTTTAGTAACATTTGCAACCCTGCTGAGCAGGTGCTAAGGTTTTCTGTCCATCTGTTTCTATGCACAAAACAACTTGGAAGTTCTAAAAGTTTGTGACAGTTGTATATTAATACGGGTATTGTGTTTCTGGACATTATCCATTGTCCTGCTTTTATTTAAAAAACACAATGTTTCAGAGACTGAAACTTTGTTTGTTTTAAACAAAAGCAGGATGATGTATAATGTCCACAAACATAATAGTTGTGTTGAACTTGAAAGTCACTGAATTGGTTTTTATGAATCTTTATGTTGTGGAGTTGAACTAAAATATGTCACTCCATTAAAATTTTGTTAATATCAGACAAAACTATCAGACATGTTACCTGCAGACATATGTTTGTTATATGCTCATCTGAAGTGTTAGTTGCTAAATGTTTAATGAGGCCAGGAGTATTTGAAAGAAAAGTTGTAGAGAAAAATGAAACACATTTTATGCCCACTGCAGTTTTTCCATAAATCTTATGGTTTTATAGACAGTTGGAGGAAAGAGGAGTGAATGCACTGGAACTGTTACACTTTGCATATGTTTCTTGACTCCTTTCTTTGATGGTGAATTGGCTCATATAATAGTTATAATAATAGTTGTTACCTCTGTGAGAGAAGCCTTTGTCCCCTTGATGGTGACTCGACTCTTGTTATAGACTGTGGCAGAGATGCCAATTGTTTCTCCGGGCACATAGCCACCCCTGTCGAGGGCCACACGACACACCACGGGGCCAGAGTTGACACAACTTACTCCCAACTTGTGTTCAATCTCACACCGAAATGGTTGCTGCCAACATGACAAACAGAGCATCAGTGATTATGCTACAGAAGGCAGCCAGCAGGCTATGAGTGATGCTGCAATTTTGTGTCTGGGTATGAGCGAAGAACCACAGCAGTTCTTGAATATATTGGTTCTCTGTTGACTGTTGACTGTTGACAGTTTACTAATTGTGTCAGAAAGGAATATGGATAGTTTTAAAAATTAATTTCTTATTACTTACTTTTATGAAACACTGAATTAGTTTCTAAATATGATCACTGGATTATTGCAGACCTGGAAGAAATGAAAGTGGTGGATGGTGTAGAAGACAAAATGAAGAAGTTTTCAGTGGCTCAAGAATTGTTAATTATCTTAAAACTGCTTAGTTGAGCTGCACTGGGATGATTTGTAGGATAAATTATATGGAGCCAACCAAAATACTGGCCTTTAGTAAGCATAAATGTCAGAAGAACATCAAGAGACCTACAGTAATGTCATTGGATACTGCTGAGAAATGTCTGAGTTACTGAACGGAAACAGACGGAACATACAGAGGCCTGTGGTTGAACTGGCTGAGGCCCAGACTCAATTGTGGTGCCAGGAAGAAAGAACAGATGGTCTGTGTTAGGCATCTGCTTGTATTGGTGCCAGAGATGTACTTAAACCAGCTGTGTGACGCATGACATTTGAGGCCATGACAGTTATCCAAATTCACTATAGAGCACTGATTCTCATCCTTTTGCGTCTTGCATCCCAGTGGTCATTTGGTCAAGAATCTGTAGTCCCCGCCTCTTCAGGCAAATGCTGAGATAGTGCCTCACGTAGGCAATGACTTAGAATCTTCCAAATTCATCCTGCCATCCAGTTCTGTGTAGTCTAGTCACTGAGAGCACTGCACAGTGGTGTACGCTCAGTGCAGAACATCTCCAAGCCTCAGCTGTGTCAGAAAGATGGGACAGGATATTGAAGGATGGATAGGACAGTGGGGGAGTACAGGGTGGGACTGGGTTCTTTCTGTTTGCATAATTGCTTGGTAGTCATCTGCTCACTCTCCACACAGCTGCTGGGGCTGGCTGGCCAACCTACATTTGTACTCGAATTTGTAACTGTCAACAAAGCTAGGAGATGGTTCGCTACATCAGTAGTTTTACAATTGTGTGTATTTTAATACTATATTAATTATTAATAGTACTTTGTAAGAATTTAAATACTGTAACAATTTTTATCATATTTTGTTGCTGTAATTATATAAAACAACATGGTTGTGCTCTCAGAAATATGATTGTGCTGCTGCATGAATGAGAACTGTATGTTTACAGTGGAGGAAACTTTTTGCATAACAGAATTGTGTGCTGATGAGTTGTGATCTTGAAGACCTCGCAGCTCACCCAGGTGTCCATTTGAGGAGCACTGCTGTACATTCTGCTGGATGTTGTGCCATGTTGTGGCTGTGTCACATTAAGGCACTGAAGGAGTGCCAACATAACAACAAATTCTGGTTAGTGTTTGGATGGGTGGCAACTTAAGATCACCACATGTCATTTGCAGTAACCAGGTCTGCACAGGTCCTTGGCACCTAAAATTATGATGGTGCTTGGAAGTTTCTTCCTTTTATGTTACTTTTATCCTACTATTAGCTACTACTATCATATAAGCTGTCAAAGATGACACACAAAATAACGTGTTTCTTTTATTGTGTTGTCATTTTGTTCCCTATATCCTAGCAACCACTCACTGGGTTCTCCCTCAGGAGGGCTGGAACCTGCCAGTGTTTATATGCAGGTGTTCTAATTGCCCCTTTGTTAATGATAGCAACTTGGGGTATTTTCCTCCTAGTTTTTAGATGTGGTATCCTAGATTTATGGGAGGTTCTGCAGTCCTGGCAGTAACATTACTATGGTCATTCGAGATTTTCATGTTTCGTGGTTACGTTTACATTGTTGTGACAAATCGTAGTTCACAGTGGTTAGCTCTGATCTCTACTGATCTCGTTTTGTGACGGTCTGGTGTATTCTGCAAGTATCTCCAAAATTCTGCTAATCTTTATCACTTCATAAAGTTTTAATATCAAACAATTCTGCAATGAGTAACATGTGCAGTGCTGGGCGTATATAAATAAGGTCTCTTTCTCAGTGGATCACTCGTTAAACAAATATTGATAGATACTGTTCATTATCTGGGGCTTCATTAATACATATGCAATGGCAGGGTCCAGTGGTCAAGACTAGGTCTTTCTGATGGGCCCTGCTTAAGGATTATTTTCCCCTTGCACCTAGAAATGCAAACAGAACCATTGAATATACCCCTACACTCAACAGTATGCAATATAATATGTATATAGTTATAAATATGGGATAGCAACAGTGATGGTTCATGATGGTGGAGAAGAGATTCTGTTTTTGTGTGACTTACTGCAAGAATTGGCGGCTCCAGGTTGAGGTCGATAGGATTCATGACGATGAACACTTGCTGATTTTTGTGTGTCAGGCCATTGGGCTCTCGCAATGCTGCCTTGCAGTAATACTGAACCCAGCCATGTTTCCCCAGGAATGTCGATGGCAGACCCAGCGGCAAACCAAGCTTGAACGGGAAGCTGTGAATGCCAGGGGACAGCAGGACAGGCCCTTGCCCTGCAATGTACAGACAGTACTGACATGGCAGGTTGAGAGATTTCCTGCTTCAATGCAGCCCATAGTTGAGTACTTTCATCCTTGAAATACCCACCACTGGACTTTCTTCAAGAATTAGGCATGCATGAAAATGACTTTCTCAGTTCAAGATGAGAATTTTGAAAACTTTCAAGAACGTTTTGTACACAGAACTTCATATACTTTGTTGCATTCTAGATTCATTTCCCATCACTTCCTGCATAATTTTGCCATCTTGATGATGCTGTACTGTAGTGAAGCCATGAGAAGAAGTATCATGGCGAGTGGGGATGAAACGTGTGTGACTCTTCCCTTTCTGCAGCTGCTTTTTCCCTCTGCAGCCCTCTCTGATTGATGTCAGCTGGCTCAAAGCACTTGTTCCTGTCATTGTGAACAGATTGGCTATATGACTAGAGGGGAAATAGTGAAGTCTGCTGGGAAGAGCATCTTTCCTTGTCCTCACTATAGATGAGGAATGTAAGTTTTAAATCTTCTGATTTTCTCAATTCCCTCTCTTACAGTTCATTTCTTTTCATTCTGAATATCGTGCCAGTCATCTGTTTTCAGAAAACTTGGATTTTTTTTTTCAGACAAAGAGACTGTTCATTTTTCACAGGATTTGTACAGTTGAAACCTCTCCTTCTTTTAAGCTGTTTCCTGCTGATGTAACTGCCTCATGGTAGGACGTGATGACTGTGCTAGGGGCTGTACAGCTGGAGAGTCTGGATTGTGCTATGTTGGTCCTTACTAACTTATTTTATATATAAGTTTTTCATGACTGGTTATTTGATTCCTTGCATTCGCAGAGCTTCTGCTCTGCAGCATCCATGGGCTCTGGGGCCCACCCAGTCTCCTAACAAGCGAATACTTGGTGTTCTTCCCCTGGGAGTAAAATGGTTGAGGCATGAAACTGACTACTTACCCCCATCTAGCACTGAGGTTAAGAATGCATGGGTCTGGATCTCCATGCCTACATACATCTTCATGGCATGGTGTTTAATGAAGCATGCAGACAACTTTACCATTAGTTGGTTTTCTTGTGATGAACATTCTCTGTCCACAACATGAAATTGTGGCAGTTAAAATAACTCTCGACCCCTGTAGTAGTAGTGGTTAGTGAGTTCCCTGTGAAACCTCTTTTGCCCTTGATGCAGTTAAGTTTTATCTCAGGTTTGCAACTGGCTTGTGGGCCATAGTTTGGCCCTCCATCCCCGTTCACAGTCAGACCAGCCAATTCAAGAAACAGTTATATGTTGTGAGGTTGTTTGACTCACCAGGCTCCCCCAACAGCCTCATGCGGAAATCTATGTAGTTCTCTCGGTCATACACTCGCTCCTGGCGCTGGCTTCGCAGCCGTACCACACCTTCCCCTACCACATGGAAGTGCAGACCTGTGGAGTACATTCAGAATCAGTCAAAATTTGCAAGATTATAGCTACCATAAATGTCTGGATGCTGGCCTAGTTTACTAGCATTGTATTTAACATTGTTGTCATATGTTGATATTGTATGAGAAAGCCCCATCTTGTCATCTCTAAACAACTCCAGAGTACTTCCTGAGAAGCTGATGGTTTCTCAGTTACTTGAGAACTTCCCTGCCTCTAATGTGGCCTTAAGTTCGTTACTGAGTTCATGAGAGCCCAAATCAAACTAAGTGACCCATGGTTTCTCAAAATGGGTTATGACTCGTTCTGAGGAGGGTTGACAAATTCTGAAGAATCATTTAAAATAAGCTCGTATAGACCGAAGAGGGATGAAGTGACAGGAGGGTGGAGAAAACTGCATAATGAGGAGCTTCACAACTTGTACTTCTCTCCAAGTGTAATTAGAATGATCAAGTCAAGGAGGATGAGTGGGCAGGGCAAGTAGCACTTACCAGAGAGTGAAGAGAAATGTATGTAGGATTTTTGTGGGAAATCCAGAAGGAATGAAACCACTAGGAAGACCTAGACATAGATGGGAGTATAATATTAAAATTGTTCTTATAGAGATAGGATTGGGTGATATGAACTGGATTGATATGAGTCAGGATAAGGATCAGCGGAAGGCTCTTGTGAACACGGTAATGAACCTTCGGGTTTCATGAGTGTTGGGAAGTTCTTGAGTAGCTGCACAGTTGGCGGCTTCTGAAGTTGGACTCTGCTCAATGGAGTTAGTTATCCGTGTACAGTTTAATTACATTAATAGCCCTAACTATGAGGGGGGGGGGGTTGTGTAAATTGATGTATTATCTTAGGAGTCGCTGTATAACTAGGTGTTAGAACCCCTGACTCAACTAATTAACTCCCTCTAACCAGAATACTTTAGAAGCTCATAGTTGCTCCGCTAATTGGGAAATGGAATGTGGGGTTTCACTGCTGTGTTGAATTTGAGGTTCTCATGCCAGCGCAGTGCTGCAACCCAAAAGGTTTTACTCTTCGTTGATTGCCATGTTCACAAGAGCTTGCCACTGCACCCTAACATGAGCCAGGTGAAACCAATCTGCACCTTTACACCTTTCTTTATGATTAATTTTAATGTTATTTTTCCATCTACGACTAGGTGTTCCACGTGTTTCTTCCCCTTTTGTTTTCCAACTGAAATTGTGCATGCAGTTCTGATCTGTCCCATGTTCACTTCATGTACTGCCCATACCGGCCTCTGATTCATCATCTAAATCATAACAAATTGTTTGTTCTTCTCTGAGGTGCCAAGCTCACCACTTGTGTCTGTCCGGTATAGTCTTGTTTAAATATGTTGGGCTCTCCTGCTTTTGCTTGATCCCCCCCGTTGGTGTTTAGTCACCATCTCTGCCCCTGCATTGTTTTAGTCATGAAGTTCAATCCTTTTGAGCCTCAAGCTCAGCTCGGTTGTGTTTAGAAACTGATCTCCAACGTGACATACGTAATCTCAATAAGATCACATGATTCTGACGGTATTCCAGAAATCAGAGGCAGTGCAAACGGAGAGCTTTGCTATGCTTCAGTACATTTGGACATTGGAGGCAAATTGCAAGTTTGAAATACATCCTAGTTGAGGAATTAGTGGATGGTCTTCCTTCCACGTCTGACATTGTAGTCTGGAGAATTCAAGCATAGGCATCAGGTGGACATGCAGCTTGACTAGCAGGAGAGGGTGGATGGCCCCCAAGACTTTCATTTGCAGCAAGAACAACATGTTTGCCGCTCCCAGTCTTCATTGGTTCCAATAAATAATAACACACCCTGGGGCACTGCAAACTGCCTCTGATTGCAGTACTCGTGCTTGCCCACAGAGAACACACACAGTCTTGATAACAAAGATCAACCGGTTAAAGCTTTTTAAGGAAATAATCACTGTTCATTCTGAGAACATACGAGGCAGATAAATGCAGTGCAGGCAGTATATAAGCCTAGAGTTTTTTTAATGTTAAATGATGTGGTTCATGTACTGTGATATAATATATTAATAAACCATTTTCAGTATGTAGAAAGGGAATCCACATCGCATTAGTGTGATTACGGTGGGGAGACGAGAGGCTGTTCACAGAAACGGAATAGTTGCATCCCGTAGAACCCCACGTACTAAATAGTTTGTATAGTTGATGCAACTCCGTTAAATAACCTACGAATTATCACATTGGCGTTTGTGTCATTGTGCTAGTCACACTTCCAGTTCGCATGTTGAACCCCCCTTGTTGGCTTTTCATGTAGAACGCATGGGTTGTGGGAATAAGACATACATCAAGACTTTGTCGGAAATGTCAACAGTAGAGGCAACTGGGGGGGGGCGTAGGTGGGAGGATGCGAGAGTAAGGCCAGGATTCAACTGCCGTGGCGGGCTTTTATAAACACTGTAATTAACATGTGCATTCCATAACAGCAGCTGTGTAATCGTGAGCAGTTCAAGGAAGCGTGATGTTAGGTTGGCAGCCCTGGCTGTTCGCTGCGTGTTTTGTGTCAGGTTCAACGCCCTGCCCTCCGGGCACTCTCCTTCTTTGGCGATGAAGTTGCGTGTATACAGGGAATTGAGATAAAGCTCCACGCATTCTTAACCTCGATAATACAGTGATTGCAGATGGACGGTCAACTTCACATTCTGACCGCTTTGCCCCTGTCGGGAATCGAGTTGCTGTCGTCCAGCCACTTGGTGGTCACATGACCCAGGGGTCAGTGCGCCTAACACATTTACTGTAGTGTAACAACGCTGCCAGTGGTGTATAGCGTTGGATGATTCGATTGTAATGAATTGGAAGGGATACAGAAGGAAGCGCTTGTGGCCTAGTTTCAAGTAATATCCCTACATTTACCCGGAAGCACTGATATAATGCTAAAGTGAAGCTTGGGATAATATATTGTGACAAGGCTGCATTTAGAGAGGATGAGATGGGCAAGGCATGTAGCACGAATGAGGGAGAGGAGGAATCCGTATAGGATATTGATGGGAAGACCAGATGGAAAAGAGACCACTGGGAAGACCAAGGCGTAGGTGGGTGGACAATATTAAAGTGGATCTTAGAGAGACAGGATGGGATGGTATGGACTGGATCGTTCTGGCTCAGGATAGGGACCAGTGGAGGGCTCTTGTGAACACGGTAATGAACCTTCGGGTTCAATAAAATGCTGGGAAGTTCTTGAGTAGCTGCTCAACTGGCGGCTTATGAAGAAGGGCTCAGCTCCACGAGAGAGTGAGTGAGTGGGGGTTCAAACTCCCGAAGTGTCTGGAGGAGCGTGACATGTATTTATTTGCTTATTTAACGACCCTGTGAGGAGCTTAGGTTTATCGACGGACGCAGGATTATTACTGAATCATGAATTAGAGAGGACGTGGAGGGAAGCTGCCTGTCCAAATTTGATATATTCTGGCATTTGGCTGGAGAGACTGAGGGGGCGGCCTGGCTGAGATCTGAGTACAGCACCACTGGAATATGCAGTAGTCCGATCGCCACGCTAACCCTCGCGGCCCGCAGTGTCGCAAGGACTGCTGTCGCCTCGAGTGACATTTTGACGTTGCGCCAGCCACACTGAGCTGGGTGCAGGTGTTACGACACGCCATCAGGTGAAAGTGACATGGTCGCGTGACCAGCCGCGCTCTGTTCCTTGGTGACAACAGACTTCAGACAGATCGTGCGTCTGTAGCTACACACCGAGCAGCTTAGCGTAGCGGCTGTACAATTCGGGAGCCTGGGTCTAGACACCGCTATCCCGATATGTTTTCATGGTTTTCCTCACATTCGGAGACAGTATCTCGGACAGCGTCCTCCTAAACTCATTCGTTGACCTATCGTCCGACGCTAGTCCCGTTGCTGACAGCACCGCTGAGCAAACAGCCAGAAGAAAATGTATTCAGCATCGGTTTCTGGAACATTGGCTTTCAGGTTATTTGGTTAGCTGAGGTTTAAACCCCTTTTAAGCCCAGTGATTACAGTACATTCCGCCTGCTTAAACGTACTGCAGTTTTGCAGTCTGCCCACACAGTGTATTTATGTGTTCCGCATGATACAGTAATCAGCTATTGTTTCTGTAAACAGCAGTAACCGGTTGGGCTTTGTAGCGGAGACGTAATGTTTCCTGTGAGGGATAAGCACCACGAAAGGAGGATGTACAGGAGAATGCAGGTGTAGCTCGAATGGTTAGTTTCACGCTCCACCCATTTTTCATCCTATACCCATTGCATTGGATCCCATGAGCCGGTCTGAGCGCTGTGTTGCAGAGAAAATCCTCACTCCAACTGAGCACACTCACTCCAACTAAGTCTTCTTCTCTCAGACTAACTGGCCAAGCTCTAATCTTGTCCCTTGCTTATAACATATCTGCACGGACCACGTAGAAAACAATTTCTCTGTTGCATGCGTACCCGTTGCCGCGGGAACGTTTTTACCCAGCCTCCTTAGCAGCGGCACGCATATGTATCAAGAATCTGCTACCTAGTAACGGACGTTGTTCCATTCTTTGTTACGCGGCCGTTGCCTAGAAATGAATGTTGTGTCAGAGCCGTTCGCTAGCTCTCTGGCTGCATTATCTCATTCTCGCCCAAGAGCGGACACAGCACAAGTGCACAAACTTCCTGAATGCCCTGCTCCGCTGACAAGTTAGGAAGTATATGCAGAGCGTAGCAGATCTGGTGCGTCCTGTCACTTTTGTGTGATTACGTCGGAATCAGTAAGTGGCCATTATTCTCTGCAGCTTTTGTCCGAAATATTTTTCGCTGCAAATAAATACATGTTCCNCGCTGGTTTCTTGCTCGGCTTATTCTTCGACCCTGAAGATGGAGGCGGTATGTACTGTTCGTAATCACGGCTGTGAGGACCTCAGGTCCTGCAGGATATGCACGCAGCAACTCGTGTAGGTCTCCGTGTAAAGTGTCCGTTACTGCTGTCCGATTTTAATCACAAGTGGAATTCCACTGTATCCAGTTGCGTGAAAATGGCTTT